AAAACCTATAGAATGTTCTTTGCCAAAATACTGCACATTGAAGATCTCCCCACAAGTAGCTCCTTCTCTAGATTTTTTATACCTAATAACTAATAGGAGCATGCAAGCAAAAACTCTGTAATTCCATAGAGCTAATGAAATGAAAAAGTTGTGGCAATAGATATTTTTCCTTTTTGACATAGGGGGTAAAATATTCTTGTAGAACAAAAGGGAAGACATATTTACAGACAGGGATTAATAGAGAGGGAACATGTTATCCAATACCATCTGGAGCTTCACTTGTCTTCACAAAGCTACCTTTGAACCTCTTTCTAGTATCAGCCCTGGCCTTCCTTGACTCATAGCGTATTTGCTTGTTATATCTGCCCATGTTTACCACATCAATTAGAAAAAAAGGATAAAGATTTTTTTACTAAGAAAAGCTTAGTCATGGGAAAACAGAATAAAGAGAGTAAAAGATTTTATACCTTCTATGTTTCTTCTTCTCCTTGTAGCGTAACATGGCATTGCCTCTACTTTGTTCCAGCAATTCCATGTCAACCTTAGCTTTTGCCTCATTCATAGACTCACTACCAGCCAGAATATGACGCTCCATGGCCTGAAAATATTTGGTTCCTAAGCATTTTAGGGGTTCAACCACCTTGGAATCTGATGATGATCCCACTACTGGTACACTAGTACTTTCTTCAGTTGTTAGTATGTAGCTTGAGAATGGTTGACATATAATGAAGCACATGATAAGCATGGCAGAGTTGCAAGAGTAATAGGAAGGACAGGGTGACAAATGGAGGTCAACTCGGGAGAAATATCATCAACTTTTCTGCTTAGCTTGCCTGAAAGTTCATGTGCTGCCCTGCTTGCTTTCTTCAATGGCAGATGGCCTTCCACTCTGATTGAGTTTTGGATCAGAACCTCTTTGTAGGCTTCTTCAGGCCTAAAGTAGGAACTGTTAGATTAGGTAAAGGCTTAAATCCAACATCTTCGTAGGCTTCTTGAGGCCCACAGTTGGGTAATGTAAAGGCTTCAGTTGCATGGTTTTCAAACTGAACATTGGGTAATTGGGGAGAGTTTGACATGGGCTTATCTCTAGAATCCAGTCTGATGCACAAGTGTTAAGTCAAAGGCTTTTTATGTTATAAGTTCGATCATTTTAAGTCCTTGATTTTGTTGAAAACTTTGCAGATTATATACAATTGAATTTTTTTTAAAATAAATTTTAAAAATTTTCATAAACTATATGAACATTCAATCCTATTAACCTTTCATGTTTGTCTAAGGTTGAATTCCAGTGTGCTATCAGATCATATGAGTAATGACTGAAACAATTACCGGGCCATAAGGGGTGCAATGTTCATGAACTTGAGAAGAAGTATCTGCCAATTATCAATAAGGATAGTCGGAGATGCTTAAAGAAGGAAGAATAAATACTAAATGGCTTTGTGAACAGAGGAATGCATGCAAAAAGAAAGTCAATTAGAACAAAAGCTTTTGCTTAGTGCCAATGGCATTGACTTTTTTCATTTTCTTTTTTTTTTTTGGGGGGGGGGGGGGGGTGTGGTTGGCTGGGGCATCTCAAATTGGACGTCTGTTGTCATTAGAATCATGTGCCCCATGGTATGAAGGATAGGAAAAGGTAGACATGAAATGGTATTGATCTGTGTTTTGGGGTTTCTATCAGCATTTAGAAAATGTCTTGGCCAATGTGCCTTTACTAGATTTTGTGCATGCTTCCTTTTTAAAGAAGTCAAAATCATCAATAATTTCAAAGCATTGAGAATTACAGAGGATTCACTAGAAAAAGAAGTGGTCACAAAGCCTCATACATTAATTAGATGGAATATGAGACAGAAGATGTATATCATAATATGAACCATACCATAGCTGTAAAAAGCCTGGTTAAACTTAAAGTAGTTAGAAAATATATTTTGGTAATATATATATACAACATTGATATGCATATCTAGATTATCCTACAACCACACTAGTCTTATATCTTTTCAAGGGGCTAAGATTAGCTGCAAGTTGCCTGGCCAGAGTGTCTGCAAGGTGAGCAGTGGCATGGCCAGAAACTTCAAGACATTTCCATAATCTTTGTGGAGAGTCTATCTGTGAAAACACGAGGTCCATACATTTGAAGCGAATATATTCCATTATAGGCAGCGAGAATTGCAGCAAGAAAACAGCACATTAAAAGAAAGCTTACGGATGAGTCAAATTGATGAGAGGGGATCAAAATTATGCGTGGCGATACGAATCTTATCTCTATTCTTAATTTCATTTGCTATAAATACAGACTTCAAAATGTTGTGTTGGCATCGCATTTGAGATTGAAATTCAAGAGAGGAAGAAAGGTCTAACATGAAGATAAGAGTTCTGTTTGGTAGCCAAGGATGACTTGCCTGCTCCTTCCAAGAGGTTTCAAATCAAATCTCTCGAAAACCCTTGTTGGGTCCAGGGCAGTCACCTTGGCTAACTTGACAGGCTCTTTTCCTTCATGCTAGGCCTTGTCTTTCTCCCCTTGTCAACGTACGTACGGCTAATCTAGAATTTGGATATATGGAGCGAAAGGAATCGAGGAAATGTTTGGAATCACAATGAAGCATGCATACGAGGAAGAGAGATCTTCCATGAAGATAAGAGTTCTGTTTGGTAGCCAAGGATGACTTGCCTGCTCCTTCCAAGAGGTTTTAAATCAAATCTCTGTAAACCTTTGTTGGGTCCCAAGCAGTCACCTTGGCTAACTTGACAGGCTCTTTTCTTTCATGCTAGGCCTTGTCTTCCCCCCTTGTCAACGTACGTACGGCTAATCTAGAATTTGGATATATGGAGCGAAAGGAATCGAGGAAATGTTTGGGATCACAATGGAGCATGCATACGAGGAAGAGAGGTCTTCCATGAAGATAAGAGTTCTGTTTGGTAGCCAAGGATGACTTGCCTGCTCCTTCTAAGAGGTTTCAAATCAAATCTCTCTAAAACCCTTGTTGGGTCCCAGGCAGTCACCCTGGCTAACTTGACAGGCTCTTTTCTTTCATGCTAGGCCCTGTCTTCCTCCCCTTGTCAACGTATGTACGGGTAAGCTTGGATATATGGAGCGAAAGGAATCAAGGAAATGTTCGGGATCATAATGAAGCATGCATACGAGGAAGAGAAGTCTTCCATGACGATAAGAGTCTTGTTCGGTAGCCAAGGATGACTTGCCTGCACCTCACAAGAAGTTTCACCAAGGTTATAATTCTTCTTGGAAGCTAGCCCTGTTTGGCTCCCAGGCAATCATCCTTGGCTAAGCTAACAGGTTCTTCTCAGTCATGATAGACCTTTCTCTTCTTCCTTTGAACAAGTTAGTCGCGGAGCATGCAGGAAATTAATACCGAAACCATCATTTTTAGCAGCTAATATGTGTCAAGAATAATGTGCTTTAATTGATCACTTCATTTTAGATATACATTTGGGTTAATAGATGCTCGATCATATGTGAAATCTATAACAGTACTGGTGAGAAAAATGCGTGCATGGCTGATGAATTTATTGAGTCTTGCTTTTATGTTTGTTGTAAATGGAAGGAAAAGTTTTCCAGAATTTTGTTACAGATGAATACTGATAGAAAACACAGTGGCAGGTGATGAGCCACTCCTTGAGGATATGGCTAATGTCAGTATCTGATTTCTTGTCCGATGCCCAAATATATTGAATAGTAGCCGTTAGACATGGGAAATTAATTTTGAAAATGACATTTGTTTGTTTCTTCGAGGAAGAAGATTCTCAATTTCTCTATTGAACATGCATGGTTTTAATGGATGCTGGCTGGTTTAATCTTATCCTCTCGCTCTCATCTTTCTTCCGTGTATGTTTGCATTATAAAGGTTTTGCTTGCATGCATATCGAAACAAATTTTTTTTTTTTTTTGTACATAAAACAAGTTGTTTTTAAAGATAAGTCCAACTCCTATATAAAAATTCCCTTTGCTTGTGAATCAATTGATTTATTTGATCTCTTGTGAAACTTTATATTTCACATCTGTTAAAAAATGGGACAGAACCACAATGTTTATCTCTTTCCTGCTATTTCTTTTATTATTTATGTATTTTTTTTCTCAATTTTTAATTTGACAAATGGAGGATTTTCTTGTTCATATATAGTGACGGATGCAGAAATCTTATTTAGTGGGATTTAGTTCGAATATATTAAATTATAAAAAATTAATAACATAATAGTATTAAAAAAGTTAAAAATTTCATATTTAGATATAATTATTTTTAACAGAATTTTATTTTTTAAAAATGTTGTACAATAATTTTATTATTAATATTTTTGAACACATTTTTTTAATATACACAATTAAATTATCATTCAATTATTAATTTTTCATTCAATCATAAAAAAATTCAAAATATTTATTACTGAAAATATTTTTCTGCTATAACAATGATAAAATGATAAAATTAAAATACTAGCTTTAATAATAAATAAATTAGATCTATAAAAATTCTTTAAACTTTATTTAAAACAAACCTAATTGCAAAATTTTTTAGTCTCAGCAAGGACTTAAGCCTTCGTTAATCTTTTCTTTTCTTCTTGGTAAAAAAGTTTGATGAATTACAAAATACGTAAATTTCCAAAAATAAAATAAAAAATAATACTGCAGGAAAAGAGCAAAAGTGCAAAACCTTTTTTTTTTTATTTTAGGAAAAGGAAAAAGCTGGAAGTCAGTGGACACAAAAAGATGTCTTATATTTGTATGATATAAACTTTTAAAAATTTATATTTTTATATTATATATTATATAAAAATTATATATCATAACTTGTATTAATATAAAAATATAAATTTTTTTATTTTATTAAATTTATTTATAATTTTTATTAAACTTTCAAATTTAATTATTTTTATATTTTTATTTATATTATTTTTATACCATATTACCATATTATATTTAAAATTATAAGTGTGAGCGTCAAACCGATTAGCAAATCAACAGATTAGGATTTGTTTTTTAACAAAAAAAAAAGAAAATTCAAAACGACGTCGGGGCATCTACCACTTCAACCAGATTTGCAGTCCCTGGTCAGCTCAATATTATGAACCCTACCCTCATCTGTTTATTCAACTCCTTAACCATTTCCATTTCTTATTGAAGAGAAGCTTCGGCTGAATCATGACGACGGTTTTAGGAAATCCACTAATCAAGGCATTGATTATTGTTTTCTTGGTATCAGCAGCCACCGCCACCAGCGACGCCCCCTTCATCGTCGCTCACAAGAAGGCATCACTGACCAGACTCAAATCCGGCGCCGAACGCGTCTCCGTTGCCATTGACATCTACAACCAAGGCTTCTCGTGCGTTTTTCTTTCCCTTTTTCTTCATTTTTTTTTCTAATTGTTTTAATCCAGATCTAGCTTTGATTTCTCCATCGAGGTGAAAAAATTCAAAATTTTGAGTATGAATTCGAGCTATCCTTATTCTCTTATGTAGCTTACGATGTCGTTTTGGGCTTTGCATGATAAGCAGCTGATTTGCATGTGAGAAAAGATTACATTTTTATGAACTTATTCAATTTAGAAAATATAAAGAGAAAATAAGTGGATTTAAAGCTAATTTAATTTATTTTTAGTTATTTGGATCTTAGAGAAACGAGATGAAATTGCAAATCTGATCATTACAAAAAATTTCATTCCTTTTTTTAACCTTCATGGCTAGAGAATTTTGCTACTATTTAATTTGGCATGCTTAAATTTTATTTAGAGTTATGATCTAACCCAGTTGACCATCAAATCTTAATTGGAGATTGATGTTATTAATATGATTCAATATAATGTTTGAATAATATTGCTGAAAATTTCAGAAACTTCTGCAGTGGTAATATGGACACATCTATTTTCCCCTTTTGCCATGTTCCTGTGAATTCACATATGAGTTTTTCTTTTTAGATTTCTCATGCATTTTGTGTTGTGGGGATATTATCTTACTTGAGGAACAATCTCTCTGATAAAAAAAAATCAGGACGGCATATGATGTGAATCTTGATGATTATAGCTGGCCCCTAGATTCCTTTGATATCGTCAGTGGTAACACTACACAGTCATGGGAGAGACTTGATGCGTGAGTACTGCCTTTCTGTAATTCTATTTAATCTGCTCTTTCTTGATTGAATTAATTAAATTTCAAAAACTTTATGATCTGTAGCGGTGGTCTTCTATCACATTCATTTGAATTAGAGGCCAAAAGACAGGGAATGTTCTATGGTGCCCCAGCAGTAATTACTTTCCGCATTCCCACAAAGGCTGCTTTACAGGTTCGAGATTCATAACAGTTCTATTTTTCCTCCCTCAAAATATAAAGGGAAAGAAAAATAAGGTGAACAAACTTTGATGGTCTACTTTGTTGTGAGTGTTTAGGAGGCATATTCAACTCCAATCTTGCCCTTAGATGTCCTTGCAGAAAGACCTCCGGAGAAGAAGTTTGAGCGGGTAAGTTTTGTTTGGAATAGCAATAAACAATGAGTCAAGTTATTCAACATCATTTTCCCTTTTCTCAGATTACTAAAGCCTTTTTGGTTTTGTTTTTTGTGGAACTTGCTCTGGTCGTGACAAAACATTGAAGGCTAAGGTATGAGTTGTTATTATATTTGTTAAAATAATCATGTTTCTATGATCTGAATGGACAAGAAATGACATGCATGTGCCAGATTTGGTTCTGGAATAGATAATATGCATCCCAATGTTTGGAATAGCCTTTCTCTTTGGGTAAATTTATAGTGGTTTAGTGTTGCCTCTTGCATTAATGGATTCTTGATGACCCTTCTAGTTCTTAGCTTTCTCTCATAGTTAGATTTACAGAGTCCATAAACTACTTCCTATCCTTGAAATTAATATAGACCTTCCGTGTCTGCAGAGGTTGCTGGCTAAGCATGGTTCCCAAGTCTCTGTGATCTTGATTGTGGTTCTGTTCATCTACCTGATCATTACCCCATCAAAATCCAGTGCTGCAAAAGCGAGCAAGAAGAAGCACTAAGTATTGTAGCTGTGTATTGAAAAAGCAAATCAATAATAGCCTGACTCCACTTAATGCACGAGCCATTCTTTCTGTCTGCAGTTAAATTAGGGCTTTCCTTTTTTTTTAAAACATTTTTTGTTAGGATTTTTTAAGTAGAAGATTGTTAAATGAGTTTATTGCAAGATGAATCAACTGACTCCTACTTCCTAGGCCTAGACTTGATTGAAGCCGGTAATGCAAGAAGTGGAAGAACTGATCATGGAGTGAAGTTTTGAAATTTATTACTTACTATTATTTATATTTTTCATTTAATGCTGTGACCGGTGAAATATATACTGCATTTGATGAAATGATTCATATTCATGTTAGGAATGAGATTTCCAAAAATATATACTGAGAGATGTCTTTTTGGAAATCTTTAGACTTTGACTGGCCTTTTGAAGCTTATTATATTTATATCCTTGAAATGATAGCATGAAGAAGAGCCCCTATGGGCTGTAGAATTTAAATCGCAATGTAGGCTTTTTCTTTTGTTGCTTTGCCCTCATATATATATATATATATATATATATATATGTATATGATAAATGACAGTAGTCCAACATACGAGATAGATAGCAGTAGTCCAATGTGAAGTATTCCAATCGCAATTGATTACCAACCGTGTAACCTTTTTAATTTTAGTCCTTATTTATTTTTTATGTAACAGAAAAAGTGAGACTAAACTTTTTTAATTGCTTGATGGCCAAATAAAAAAAAAAAAAACTCATTTAATTTCTTATTAAAGTGATAAAAGGATTTAACTTTGTTAAAAACAAATAGTTTTCATTACCATTTCATTTCATTGATGCCATATGCTATTGAGTGAATGGTGTAGCTTGAGAAAACACATATCTCCTTTCCTTTGCGAATTCTTTTCGTGACTTCTCCTCCATTCCTATCATTTTGTTCAAGTGAATTCACCTTAATTATTATAACTATTTGTATAATACATATAACTATCATTTAAGCATATAAACCAAATAATAACATATTTGGATTTTTATGTATTTGCATATTCTGACTAAAACTTTGTTAGTCTACCAATTTCGCTAATGCGGAGGAGTTTCCCTTTTTTTTTTAAGATAAACATCAATAAGGAAGACAAAGTCACAAAGATTCATTAAGTCGTTGTAGTATAGTGGTAAGTATTCCCGCCTGTCACGCGGGCGACCCGGGTTCGATCCCCGGCAACGGCGAGATATTTCCCCCTTTCTTTTTTTCCATTGCTTATTATTGCATACACGAGAGGACCGGAATACGAGATGTTTCATTTTATTTTACAAAAATGGTACAATAAAACAAGTCCAGGACAGCTGAAACAGATGATAAAATCTCTTGCCAAAGAGAGATCCAAGTGAAATTTCGAAAATAAAAAAAAAATCCCTGTAATATGAAGAATCCTGTAAATGTATATAGTCCCTCTTTATGCAACAGGCGCAGGTTGAACAGCAATCCCAGATGCTACAAAATTGGACAGACTCTCAGAGAGATGCTTGGATGCTTTCTCGTAATTAACAAAACCCATGTACCAGAAATCATGTCCATCCACTGTAACAATCTGGATGTATTTCTCTGATGGATTGTCTCTCATGATTACAGGGTTGATGATGCTAACTTTGCTCAACGGCACCATTACCTGGAATTTTCCAAGCAACTGAATTAGTCCTACTCCCATCGATATAACATACGGGGAAGAAAGGATATACAATTGACAACAGTTTTATTTGTGAAGCTAACTAATAACATGTTAATCACTTTACCTTGTAATAGCTCCAGGCTTCCTGGCCTGAAGGTGCAGTGAATGACAAGGGGCGATCACTGCAGAAAGCTACATGAATACTGGATAGATAAAGAGTTCCAGCAACTGGTCCAGTCGAAGTGGATAAATAGCAGGCGAATGTCTTCTTCAGCTTCTCATTTGAGGAAGTCGCAAATGTTTGCTTGTAAAGAGATTCGAATCCACCTCCTGTTAGTGCTTTTGCTGTCAGGTTCATCTTCCCCCAGGCAGCTCCAGATACAGATGATCCAGTTCTAACTGTTTAAGAAGAATAAAAACAATGTTAACAGGGGTAATTAAAACTAGATTATAGGGAAATCTGAGAGATTCTGAACATACGATTGTGCCAGATATTGTTGGCCATGGTCTCCGCTTTGTGGCTCCAGGAGTTGAAGACTTGAAGCATGGATTCCATAGGGCTATTGCTTGATTTTTCTACAGGGGAGTATTGGAGATATGGATGATGGAAGTATTGAGCCTCGTCACCAGCACCCCACAAGGCTGCCTTCTTGTTGTCTGGATGACATGTGGGAACAGCTGGTGCTCCCATGATATGAGTCCCCCATTTCTCAGAATTGTGATCAGACGGTTGTGGAGGAGGGGGAGGCAATGATGATGATGCAGCTGCAGCTGCAGATTGCACCTGTGGCTGTTTTTCCTGTGCGTTTGTTTGATGGAAAGGGTTTGTGTCTACTTCAGTAGGAGAGGGGATAGAGGGGTAAAGAGGCTGTGATTCTTTGCCGCTGCTATTCATTTTGGTAACAGAGAATTCAATACAGAGTAGACTTCTTTGCGAGGTTTTTGCTTCAAATTTTTAGCTGTGAATATTTCAGGGTTTGAAGGAAATCTTTGGTTATATACGAAAAAGGGTGGAGCCGAGGTGCGCGTATTGGTTGCTTAAAGCCGTTCTAGTCTTCTAGAAATAGATGAAACTTAGATATTTTCTTTTGGGAAGGTAGGCGGGAACTGATCTGGGGGATGTGAAAGCAGAAACTTTGACTTGAGGCAGGGTAGACACGTTCAATGAAATTATCCATCTTGGTTGCTTAGCCGTGTCCCTGTCCCTTCAATTGGCTTGATTACTCGTTAAGCTTCTAGGGATCCAGATCAACATGTGACTGTGCTCATTTGTTTTTTCATTTTTGGCCCATCAACCTTTCAGCTTCCTCTACCAATAAATAAGGGCCATGCAACGCCGTTTGGACCCCGCCAGCCTACAATTGCTGATTATGTAACGCGGTTTTGACTAAACCCCTTTAACCGAAATGATCATTCGTTACCATTATTTGAACCAAATAATAAAACAATCCTGTATTTGAAATTGGGCTACAATAAAATTAAAATAAAATGGCCATTTCGGTTGACCAGTCATTACGGTTCTACAACGGTTCATCACAGGTTATTGATACTCATTGATGATGAAAAACAAAATTTTTCCAGTACGTAGTGACAAATGACAAATCAAAACTTCCTTTTTCCAATCCTTCTGTTATTTTGCTTAGGAGCAGAATTATAAAACGCCAAAACATTTTGGCACGAGACTTTGATCACAAATGTTTGCCATAACAGAACTTTTATTAATAAGCATGCCGTTACTAATAATAAAATTTAATAATTTTATATATAATACGATAATAAAATTTAAAAAAAATTATATGTATTTTTAAAAAATATTTTATGTTTATTCATGTCAATATCAATTTCGACACGATATAATTTGTGTCGAATATATATTAATTCTTTTATATAAAAATATAATATAAATAATATATCTAATTTAATTTTATCACATGAGTACACGTTTAATATATTTTAATATATTTAATATATTTTTTATATTTATTTGAATTTAATATAAATATATAAAAATTATTTTAATTTTTAATTTTTTAATTATGATAATTAATTTTTTAATATCATATAAAAATTATTTTAAATATTTAATTATGATATTCATTTAATAATTATTATAATTATTTTTTATATTAATAATAGTCTTATGTATTATTATCTTATTCTTTAATCTTTAATAATTTATAATTTTAAATTTGATATTAAAAATTAATATAGATATGTAATATAAATTAAAATTTAAATATATATATTAAATCCATATTAAAGGAATATTAATTTTTTATTTTTTTAATATGTAAGTATTTTTTATATTATTAATATGTCAAATTTATTAAATTATAAATGATATATAATTTATAATTATTTATTATTTTAATAATATTTTTTTATATATTTGTGATAATCATGTCATTCGTATATATCAATGTTATTCGTATTTATTTATGTATATTCATATTATTTATATTATTTATATTTATTCATATTATATTTAAATAAATTAACTATACATATTTTAATCGTATCATATCATAAGTAAAACGTACATTAAACATATCATTTTTATAATTAAGATTTAAATATATTTTTTAATTTGTATTTGTGTTTTAATAATTCGTATCATTATACAAGTTAAATACGGTACGAAAACACTGATTGTCATGTCTTACTAAAAGTAATTCAGCACTACCGTCACCAGCGGGGTACCCTTCTGCGCCAGCACCGCCGTCTCTGCCACCTAACGAAGGCTATGCACCGCCGCCACCAGGATATCCATCGTATCCTCAGCCACCACGCCAGCCGTACGAGGGGTAACAAGGGTATTTTGCAAAAGGGTATCCATCACCTCCACGTTACACTCAATATGTACACTGCTATCACATGAGCATTCACCGTTACCGGAATCAATCTGATGTTGGCTGTTTCTCTTTCTTATAAGGCTGGTATGTATTTTGTTTCATGTTCTTATTTTCTTTTGTTATTGATTAATTGCTTTGGCGTTTAAAGGTCTGATTTTTGTTGCTTAATTTGTGGCATTTACAAATCAAAAGTTCAAGCTTTAGTTTTTAGTATTGGATTACGGAACTGGGTGTGCTAAAAGAATTCTGTGATCAAGCTCAAAAGAAACTAGAAAGTTAAAAGGGAAAACTTTAAAAGAGAAAGTAATAAGGAAAATAAAAGTATCGTGATGAAGGTGTCCTTATTTATTGATGCAAGGAATTTGATTTTAGCGTTACAGTAACAGTTGATTCTCTTAGGCTAAGTTGATCTCAGTGTAATCTATCATCTATCTCATCTTACCCCCCCCCCCCCTTTTTTTTTTTGTATGTAAATTGTTTCATTTCAATTACATCAGCGCTCTCTTGGAAGGTCTTGGGATTTGATGCAGCTTTGTGTATGTTGCATGAGTATTTTTCTTTTATTTGATCCTTTGTTCTTCTGTCTGTTATTCATATTTAAATTGGTAAATGCATCCTCCAGATAATTTTATTCTTAGATTAGATAAGCATCATAGAGGTATGAATGTAAGTGATGAGATTTATATTTCTCTAGTGAAGCCCATTATCCATGTATTATTTGCCTCTTCTATATGATCAGTTTTATGTAGTAGATTGTCTGCAGAGGTGTAGACCAAACAACTTGAATTGATGAAGGTTAAAAATGACAGTTATGGAGGATATGCGTTGCCATCATGATCTGGACAAGTTGTTTAAGATGTGCTTAAAAAATGCTACTCTAGCGTTCTTGTTAAGGACAAAAACCCACTCTTTGATAGTGTTGCTGCCTAGGAGTTTTTTGGTCTAATTACCACCATGGACATTTTGTGGCAAATTCTTAGAGCCTAAGTTTGAAGACTGCTAATAGGCGTTGGATTGGTAATTCATGCTTGAACATGTGCTTGGCTGTCAGATTATATAATTTCCTAGTGGTTGTTGCTCATTATATATACATTTACTGTTTGTTTAATCCTTTCAGTTATGTTTGAAGTGGTGTTGGGCTTTGATAACACCTAAACTTGAACAATGGTGTCTGGTGGCAATTTTTTGACATTTATTATTACAGACCATATAAATGTTTTAGATGCTTTGTTTGTTATCATATGTGGTTGCTTATTTGATTGCATAATGCATTTTGTATGCGTGCGGTTTGGCTGCTTTATGTTGCTGGTGCATGGTGGAGGAATGCTGCTGCTTCTTATCATGATTCATAAATGATGAATTACATCATTTACGTTTGTGGTTTTTCTGCACTTCGTTGCTACTATTTGGGGGAGACATGCTGCTTCTAAAGTTCTACATGGCATTTTATGAGGGTTGTTACTGTTTTATAAACAGTCATATGCTTGTAATTGGTTCCATACCCATCCGATTTTGTAGTTTGTCTATTCGAACTTTATAAACAGAAGTTGTGCATCGATTATTTGTATCTTTTGCATTGGCTTTCTTCATGCTGATGTTTCTCATGATTCATAGTTCCCTTTTTCTTTCACTTTTCCGTGAAAGATAGCTTTTTGAATCTGCATTGGGAAAGGCTTTCCATATTATTACCTGCTCGACAAACTTTATGCCGCGTCACTGATGGAGACAATGGTATTAAACTCTTGCTTTTAATAAGCAACTTAGAGAATCATGAATCTTAAAATGTTTATCCTCTGCTTTTCAAATCCATGTGTCCAGGATCTTCCCACTACCTGTCTTCCTTTCTTTAGTTTTCTTATGCTATCCTGTCTGTGTTAATCATCAATGGCTCGGCAGCTGCTAATCCTGCCAGAAGCAAATTTTGTAAATATTAATGTAGGAACTTCTAAACTGAGACATGCAGAGGAATATAATTTTGAAGTTCGATCACGGTTCACCTCGAACGACTCTGTCATTCAGTAATCAAATTATGTAATGTAATTTCTCTGCTGGCAAGCTACTTCCATGTTAACATCTATAGAAATTTATGAGTTTTGCAAAAGAAAAATTTGGATTCTGCTGGGGGATATTTAAAATGAAAAGTGCTTGCTCGGAGAAAGTATTTAAGATTGTTTGCAAATATCTCGCCATAGTTCTTGTAGAACTTGACTAAGAATCATCTTGTTACGTCAACTTGAGGCTTTCAAAGAGCTGACTACTATTTGAAATGATTCGAGTCCCATAACCACCTTGGCTCCATCCGCAGATGATGAAGTCATCCTTACTAATGTTCAACAGTTTCATTAACCCAATATGTCCTAATCATGATTGAGGCCGAGTTCACGATGAACTGACCTCTCCACGAGAGCTCCGGCGGTAAATAAAATTGCGGAGATTTCATCTTCCAACAGCCATTCAAAAGTTCTAACTGTTTCTGGACGATTTTTTCTGGAGTCAATCCACCGGCCATGGCATTAAAGTTATCTGCTGCCTGATCCAAATAAAACCCAAGTTTACTGCTGGCAATAATGGTAAATTTAATAGTGGTTGATTCTGGCAAATACTAGAACACATCGATTTATAATATAACCAGGATTACAAATAGCAAATCTCTTGTAAATTAAACAACAGTACCATACAGCTAAAGCGCCAACAAGCTAAGAATTCATAAAAATCAGTTTGTCCTAACAAAGTACAACTAAAATAAGCAGAAAAGACATGGCAGAGCCACAATAATGCACCTACAAAATGCACACAAATGCTGGTGAATCTTTCCTATGCCCGACCAATGTTCGATACAGATACATCTTGTCTACCTTCTGCCTATCATCATGGCTAAATTCCATCTGTTCGCTTTCATTTATGATCTCCACACTCAGCCTTGGCATCTTCTCTGCAAGTGTCTTGCAGCCTCCGAGGGTAACTTCACAGGAGGACATCCAAAGGGATCGCATTGCTTCATACTTTCCCATGTCCTCTAGAAGTGCTGCATTACCAAAGCGGCTTTTCATGATCTCTAGCTTGCGAAGTTTCTTGCAACCATTCAACACATAGAGCATTCCTTCGTCACTGTCACCGGCAAAAGCAATAGACAGCATTTCAAGCTGCTCAGCATACATTCCTATGTAATTAAAAACCTGATCAGTCAGAAGGCCAGTGAGTGATAACCGCTTGAGACCCTTGCAAAAGTGAACAATTGCCCCAAAACCTTCATCCAATGGCTGATTGGTTACAGGGTCACATTTTACAGGGTCAAGGATGCACAATCTAAAACGGATAAAATTCGGGCAGTTCTTGGCTACAGTTATGAGGGCAGCATTGGTCATCTGCTGACAGAAATACAGCAATGAATTGAGCTTAGGACAGCCTTCAGATAAAAGGACCAGACCTTCCTCTGTCATAGCAGCATTTCCAGGCCCAAGGTCAGACGGAAAAACCCTCAATTCCTGCAATTCTTTACATGTTGAAGCTACAACTCCTAGTCCTTTGTCTCCAATACAATCCAGTATCTGCAACATGCATATTGATTATTGTCATTCAATTAATTTAGAAGGACACCTACAACTGGATTGCAAATACTTAATGATCATACCCATAGACGCTGAAGTTTCCTGCAGTGTTGAATCAGCTTTGTGAGCTCATTACCATGAAGGCCTGGGGCATAGCTCAAGTTCAAGAAGGTCAGGTTTCGGCAAATTGGATAAATAGCAGACATGCAATGAGGAGCAACCTCAAAAAACCCTGATAAACTCCTGATTGATTTGCATCTTTGAAAGACTGATTTCAATTTGCTATAGGCCTCAGAAGATGGATCATCTACATAAGACCCAGTTCCCAAGTCCACCAGTTGAGGTGCTTGCATTAATAGTTTTTGGAGGGTATCAAGAGGCACTGCATGGTTTAATCTCAAACTCTTGAGGTTGGGAGATCTTACTACAAGTCTTTCAAGAGCTCCTAAGTTTATTTCTCCTTTGAGGCATGCAAAATTTAGGGTGACAAGAGATGTACAGCTTTCAGGAAAGCAACTAAGCCAATGGCCCCGTTGATCATCAACTTCATTTTCTTGCAAATCCAGCTCCCTAAGAAACCTAGAATCAAATAATAGAAAAGAGAGAGAATGAATTAAAAGCCCACTATTAAATGCTTCGCTATCATATCCCCAAAGACCAAAAGGAAGTCAGAATATCGTGAAACTTGTAGCAATATATCCACCCATTGAAGGAATCGATGAGTGGTTGAATAAATCAAAAGCATATGTATTCAATGAACCATCAAAATTCGGTAGTAGGGTTCCTTGAATAGGCAAGACCTGCAGCAAAGAAGTTGCATAGTACAAATTGCCAAAAAGAAACGTTTGCCAGTTAAGCTGCATGCGGACAATTCAATAATTCAAGCAGCTAACAAAAAGGTAAACAGAAATCTGCAGCATACCAAGTCCAACACCACAAACAACGAACACATATGAGTCGCCAACATAACATAAAACTTGATTCCCATACTTTTTTACTGCCAGATGTAATATTTTTCTACACGCTCTTAACCAGATGTCTATCAAAGATACCCACCATTAACGTGTTATTCCCACGCAATTGCTCCTCTACCAAAAAACCGCTTTCAGGCATAAAATTTCATGAGCACTTGCAAATTGCAATAGAAAACTAGCATAACTGGAAACCTAAAACTCAGTCATAAAGCAAATAGAACACTTAAACAAGTGAATGCCTTGAAATGGTCATAACCCATTAAGCCAAAAAATAAATAAATAAAAAACCACCAAGAATCTCATAAACATCAGGTTATAGCAAAACCCAAATTGAAAAAATCATCAAAAAATCTTACCTACAATTGGCAGCAATAGCAGCAAGACCATCAGTAGTGAAGCCTTCGCAGCTAACAAGAACCAAAGACTTAAAATTCACAAAGGATTTCGAAAGGAACTCAAGGCTCTCATCTGACACCACCATCCTCTTAAGTCTGAGCTCTTCCAATCCGATCCTACTCTTAGCCAAGGCTTCGATCCAAGGATAAACGAAACCTCCCCATTCATGTGGCACCAAATTAAAGTCAGCAAAATGTGGCTTCCCTTTCAAAGTCAGTGACTTCAAACCTGGAAATCTGGCGATCAACCTCTCTGGACTGATGGAATAACAGTTTCCAATGAAAACCCTTTGCCTGCTGTATCTTTCGATTTTGTACCATGATTTGCAAACTAAAGACACTGAGTTCCGGTCTTTGTGAGAAGTAATGAAAAAAAACATGTGCTCTAAAACTTCATCTGGGAAATAATTCATCTTTATTGTTTTTCTACTTACCCACAACATACACAGTTTTCTTTTTTTTTTTTTTTTCCTTTTTTCTCCCGAGAAAACCAGGGAAAAAGAAGGAAAAAAATATGAAGACTTTCCTACCAGAAAAGGCAGAGATCTTGACGAAATCTACAAGAATGAGACCAGATCTGAAGATTTTAACTAATAGCCATAGTGGATAAAAAAAAAAAAAAAAAGAGGAAGCTTTTTCTTTAAAAACCTTCACATCTCTTTCGGGAACCCAAGTGAAAGAGAGTGAAAAGGAACTCGAATTCTCTCGACAAAAAAAGAGAATTTTTTGTAGTGAAAATGAAGGGAAGAAATGGGTTCTCTTCAACGATCATCTTCAAAAATCAAAGAACTATAATTACATTAAAGTTTCAAAGATAAAAATGAAAAGCCATGAAAGAAAAATCCATCGAAATTTTCATAGATCTGAAGAATCTTTAACTTCTATAAGTGGGAAACTCTTATCTGAGAGAAAAATAAAATGGACAGAAACAGAAAACTAGAAACTCTACCTTTCTTCTTTTTTTTTCTCCTTTTTCTATCTCTTAGAAAACCAGTTGGAAAGTGTTGAAGTTCAACTCTGTAAGAAGCGGAAGTTGAGAGAGAGCTGAACTGAAGTAACCATGGTTGGTTTTTCCAACCGTATTCAAAGTTTTTCTAACCGTGGTTATGATCAAGCAGTTGGTATTGTTTTGATGAGAAAATTAAGAGAATCATATCCGTCCAAAAGTGTAGCATGCATGTGTCCTTATCTCTGGTTTTGGAGTCTTACTACAGCAAGCGTAGAGCTTCTATTCACTTTTTTTTTCTACTCTTTCAAACTTTTATCAAATTATTTGTAGATAAAATTCTTTAATTATTTTTTAAAAATTTTAAATTAATAAATTCGAAAACTCGTAAAAATTTTTGGATTAGCGTACTTAAAATTAGATGATTTTATTTAAAGAAAATTGTGATAAAAAAATAGTGTGAAGAAAAAAAAGTAGATGTCTCAGCAACCAGTAATGGGCAGTCAGAAAACAACCCTGCTTTTGAAGCTAATGACGAGAATGCCATTCCTGAGATAAGGCTGTTGTGGTATCAGTCGCGCGAGTATGGGTAGTCGCTGTCTGAGTCGAAGACAAATCCATGTGGGGGGTACTGTAGTAGCCAAAAGTGACAGATTGATCTTAGACATAGCGATTTGAGTGGTTATTGTAGTTGCTGGCGCTGCTGGGTTTAGTTTACTTCTCAAACTGAACTCGGTTGTGTCCGTAAATTTACTTCTCTTTTTATTACTTCTTTACCATATTGGGTTTTTTTTTTTTTTTTTTTGGGGTGGGGGTGGGGGAGGGGAGATAAACTAAATCATGGGTTTCTTATAATGATTAGGAATTGCAGTAAAAAAGAGAGAAGCAAATGATTTAGACAAAATCTAAGACTGCTTTAAATGCATATACTCGGTTTTTAATTAAATCAAGGAATTAATGCTTCTGCTGTTTGATGTCATGATATTGATGTTTGCTTCCACTGATACGCCTAACTCTGATTGTACATAATAAATTTTTAAGGCATGATTGATTGCATGAGCTATACAAGAGTTAGGATCTGGTCAGAAGATCCAATCTGTGGCCAAACCTTGAATCCTTCCTATGTATGTGTTATGTGGGGTTTAGCCTAATCGTATAATCTGAATGTATTCTGTTAGGTTAGACTTTTTGACTAAATGCAAAAAAAAAAATTTTAGATTGACTTTTATTGAGTGTTTGCCTAATTTTTGTTGACATCTTAATTTACTTAACATTTAATGAAATGAAAGCTTAATTTGATAATAATGCAATGATTCTTCAAAACTTGTCCCTGAAAGCAATTTTATATGCAGGGCTACGAGATCTTCTGTTATTTTCTTTTGAAACAAATTCTAACAATCGATTGAATCCTGTTAAGCAACTTTTAGTAAGCTGTGAAGCATTGATTTCTTATCCAAGTATTACAAACTTTACCATTATATCAAATCTGTCATAAATAACTCCAGCAAAGCAATCTCCGATTTTTCAAACATTGATTTTTACCATTGTAACGTGTCTAATTTGCCATCTTCATTCATCAAATCCAATAAAACGATGGCTTGTTAAGTTGTTGAAAATATACATCTATACATGCATGTAACAGTAATACACAAGTAGAGCAAAAAAAGAGAATTTACATGACTAAAGGATAGATTCTTTTATCATTTTTTTTCCTTTTACTTTTCCGGTAAAGAAACAATTTTTAACAACCATGATTCCTCATGGAACTCGTATCATAATTGAAGGGAAAAAAAGCAGGTAAAAAATAACGTGTAAACAGTTAGGGTGTGTTAAAAAAAGATTGATGAGTGATTCTCAGCAGATTAATTCATTAATTAATTAATTAGTGGAAAGAATGTATCTGATATTCCAAGTATGGACAGTAATGAAGAGTTCTTTGGTAAAAAAAATTACTATATGGAGTTATTAAAATGATTTGAGCAAAGACGTGTTAACTTTCCATGGTTTAGTTGGAGCTTTATCCAATCATTTATCACTTTGACCAAATTCCATAGGCTTAATTATCAACTTTTTTCTTTCCTCCATTATCCTCATAGGAACAAACAAATTATAGCTGGCCTTTAAGTCAAACCGCCTAACCATGAAAAAGGAACTTTGGAGTCCTTATCTTTTGTGGAAATGCATGTTGGCCCACTGACAATAAAACAAAGATCATTTCAAAATATCATCCTAATTTCTTAGTATAAGTCTTCGACTTGCTGATCTACCTTATAGCTAGTAATCTTGCTCTCCATACTAATGAAATTACGGCAAGGACAGTTATTTTGGTGCCCCTTCTAAGAGATGAAAACCTGAAAAATCTCTTGACTAGAAACAAGTGGATGGCTTTGTCACAGTCAAGTTTATAGGAAATAGTATTTCCCTCTGTTCCAAGATCAGCAGGGTATTAGAGCCAAAAGAAACGAGAATAACTCCAATGGTACTGAAGTATGATGCATTCTCCGACTGTAACCTGAAAGAGCCTAGAGTTTTTGGACATTTTCAGTTGTAAGAGTGAGAATATGTGAAATAAAACTTGAAGATTATCCTAAGTCCTGACAAATAAAATTTTGTTACTTTCAATGATATAATAGATCCATTATGTTATCGCAGGAGTGTCCCATTTGTTGCTCCCACACCATTCCATTTCTTGGCAGATTGCCACCCTTGGGCTTGGCTATACTTGCAAGTTAATATTCCATTTACTTTTATTAGTTAGTTTCACTGTGGAAGTCACACTCTAAAATCATGATTGAGACATTTCTTCATTTGAGTGTATAGAGCAACCAATGCATTGATCAGCTAGGAATTTACCAAACCCATTGATAAAAAGAAGTTGCAGTTTAGAAACAAAATCCACCAACCCCTATGGCCCTGTGCCTGTCCAGATAGCACATGTATAGTGCATTTTCTACATTGAATATGGAAAACGATTAGCCTTCTATAAAAGGCATCTGTCATGATATTGATACAAGTAAAACCTTAGGATTCCTTTTGGATAGATTTCTAACATAATTTGAATGAGTGTGATTGAAGTTTCCTTCTTCCATTTGATTCCATATTTCCCAATTTGAGGCATTTCGGTGTCCTCTTAGAAAGCACTAGCACTAATAAGGCTTCATACCTGATTTTCCTTAGGCAGGGTATATATCATCGGAACAGAAATTAATTTCTTTGTCATCGATAAACTATATATTCCTTAGATCAGCGGTGGCACTGGAAATGAGAGAAGATACTTTTAAAAGGATTTAGGATTTCACAGGCAATTCTTCATGTAGGAAAATTTGTTCGTTTGTTGGACATTGAAGAGGGCGGGCATGGATATGCCAGCACTAGAGCATCCCACCTATGATAAAAAGTCTTTGTAGCTGTGTTTGATTTGTTGGTTTTTTGTGGCACAACATAACATGCCTTATAGTGTTGAAAAATGCAAATTGAGTCAAATATTGCTGTGCCCCCCCTCCACCACTTGATCGTGCCACGCGGAAGATGTTCAGTCAGTGGTATTCTTGTAGCATCTGTTTCCCCAATATTTACCTACCACCAGCACTACTACCAAGCTATAAAGGGAAAAAGAGAGATAGAGAGAGGGATTTGGATGCAAAAGCCATTTGAGGGCGGGGTACCAATTTTCCTTACAGTAGTAGGATTAGAATGTAGAAGATGATTCTTTGCCAGACTTAAATTATTCAATGGCCTAACATGGGTCTCAACTCACCTGTATAAGCTATGTATGTTCTATGTTGAACCAGTTTAGTTTTAGCATTATGGCCGGCCAAGCCTCCTCCTTTCCTTTGAAGCTTCAAGAGCGATTTTAGCTTTTGGTGTGAACAAATAGGCAAACAAAACTCGATCCTCTGATAACAAAATGTAAGCATAATTCTTACATCTCAAGATTCATACGTGAATTTAAGTTGAAAGACATCTCGTTTAAGGATTGTCAGTTACAATCTCATTTGTTTCAGAAAAATCTAACCAATTTTTTCTTTCCTTTCAAACTGTTGTTTTCACTTTGGGTAGTTCAGTAGTAGTTCCTAAGGAAAGGGTTGTGGCTGATGACCTGTGTTATCTCCACCCAAAAAGGACAAGGTGGGTTTGGTGTGATTGATATTTCTTTTCAAGATTCCAAAAAATTGAATATTGATTCATCCAAATGCAGAGAATCAAGCAACACTATTGGCTTCTTCTACGAGTAGATAATCCTATGACTTTATGCTTCAAAAAATTTCGAGGTTTTAACATGAAAAAGATGGTAGTGGTACTGATAAAAAGTGATAAGATTAAGAAATATAAGGTACAAGAGTAAAATGTAAATAAAAAATGCTTTTGGATTAAATAAAGAGTTATAGCCTGGCAAAATTTTGTCTGACATTAATGTTACAAATCAACAAGCAACAAATACAAAACAAGCACGATAAATAATCCAATGATAAGATTGTAATTTGTAATTGGAAGAGGGAGTGGTTAGGCCAAAAAGTTTTGGCTAATGACATTAATTGAAGCATGATAAATTATTCAATAAGAGGATTGTAATTTGTTATTGGAAGAGGGAGTGGTTAGGCCAAAAAGTTTGGGCCAATGGAGAATACTATAATTATTGCCCCACTTGCATATAATTAAAAGGAGAATAACATAATTGAAAGTGAAAGCCAAAAGAAAGAAAGAAAGAAAGAAAGATATTCTTTTGAAAGTGGTCATTATCATTTCCATTTTCATATGCTCCTCCCTCCCATCATTTGCAAGATTGCAACCATGTGAAGTACACAAGCTTCATAACCAAAAACAAAGATTATCCAACCAACTCCAAGACCTCAAAACAATTGGGGAATTATCATCACCAAATAAGAGACTTGATTGATTTTCAATGAAGTGAACACTTGGGGGTTGAAATTATTGCATTAACTGTTGGACGAAATTAGGAGCATGATTTCATGCTACAGAGTTGTATGGGATTTAGGAAGGAGAGCTCAAAGGGCATGCGGCATGATAACGCATGAAGATGGACTGTTTGTGGTCCAAAGTGTCAAGGCAACGTATCATTGTTATAAGAGAATGGAGGCTTTAGCTTGAAAGGGAGTTGAAACATAAGAAGATGTCCTTTTAATTGTCTCTGGTGGTGGTGGTCCAATGACAACCAAGACAAAATCCCACATTTTATTTGACGGGATTAATTTGAAATGGGCAACGGCAAGGGGTCGTGGTGGTCTTTGCAAATACTACAAGACCAAAAAAGAAAGGAAAATGAAGGAGAAGGTAAAGGACCATAAAAGGAAAGGTTGATATCGACTTCTCATCTTTTATAAAGGGAGCAAGAAAAGGCAATGGCATTGCATATCCATTCCATTGTTATGGCAGCTGGTCCAAGTTAGAATGGCTTTTTTTTAAAGAAAAAAAAAATCTCTATTTTTAACTAGACTTTTTATGGGGGTTGATAATAGGATTGACAGAGTGGGCTAAGAATGAGCAGACTAAATTCTTGCAAGCCCAAGGGTTGATCTGTATTATGCAGAATAAACTATCTAGGCTATGGAACCAGGGCCCAAGACAATCAATGGACCCTAGTCTAAGGATAATTGGGTGATGGCCCAAATGGCCAGCTAGAAAAGGACTCACTCCTTCAGAACAGTCCAAGCGCTCGTCTTCTACACCTTGCTTGCAAAATGATTGACTAAAATAAATGGAGTAAAACAAGTATTTCCGCTTTTAATTATATCAAGGCATATATGAGCCGTAAATATAATTAAAAGCTAAAATCCCCACATGGATTGGTGCCAAGTGTTAGATAAATCACTCTGAAAGCAGCATCTGATCCGCCACATGCAGCATTTGACAAAAACTTCCGGTTTAACAGTCATGGTTCACACCAGGAGGCGCCACCTCTCTCTTTCTCTCTCACTTGTGCTGGTTCTACGATACGTCTATCTATGTATCCACTGTATTCCGCCCAAGTGGATGAAAAACCAACTTGAGCATAGACAAGATTTTTCCCATCAACCCTGTAGGGTGAAGATGATATTTTTCCAATCCAAAACGTAAATGAGACCATCTTTTAGTTGCATCCCACATTAGGCCAGGGACTACCATGTTCTTTACACAACTCAACCTCGAGTAACCGAACCTCTCAACTTGATCATATTTCAGAAAGCCATAATTAAACAGCTAATTTCTCCCCATTTTTCAATCCCTACCTCTTTTTCAATTAAGGCATTTCAAAAACAATTGAAACATGTAACTAAACCCTAAACCCAAAAAAAAAATCTGAAAAGCTCTGGAGTTTTCAACTTATATATTGTACCATACTTCATAATTGAGTTACAACAGAAAGTTTACCATATAAACTCGTAAACTTAACTAACTCTAATCACTAAGTTCCACCAACTTCCAAATAAACCGCGGAAATACAATCTCCTCCCAAAATTAAGCATTGTTTCCGACATCCTTCCTAATATAAACCCCTGGCTGTACCGCTTGCCGCCTCATCCTCGATGGCAAAATATTATCCAAGTCAACCTCCGCCAACAGATCATCTGATAAATCACCCTCACCCTCTGATTTGTTCCCGCCATCACTCGAATCATCATCATCATCATCATCGTCACTATCCTTTTCCTCCTCTATAAAAATCCCCTTCCATTTCCGGTCAACTGCCGCATCTCCGTTCTCCTCCTCCTCGTCATGATCATCGTCATCGTCATCGTCTTCTTCTTCTTCCTCTGCGTCGATTCCGGGTTCTTCATTCTCAGGTATGGATTCAGGGACAGAGGAATCGTTTTTACCAGAAGGTTCGAGGGTTTGATTCTCAAGGGAGTGATTTCCTTCTTTGGCTTGGATTGTTTCGTCTTGGGTTTAGAGTTTTTGGTGGGCAATGCAGGTTCGTGAGGGCTCTCGGTTTCGACCATTGGATTCAAAGCTGGGACTTTTATGTAGGGTTTAGGGGAAGAGACGCCCTCTTTGAAAGAGGGGTTTTGGGTTATTCACTGTCTCCTTTTTTGTGGGATTTTTTACTTTCTTTTCTTGCCAAATATTTTGTATAGCCTTATTTCCAGAACAAAAGAGAAATAAAGAATTTTCCATATAATTTAATTTACATCAACTACAAATTGAAGAATAATGCTTAATTTGAGGGAGTTTATTTTTTATTTAATAAAAAGAAAAAAGAAGAAGGACTTGATGGTAGAAAAAAAGTTGTTTTTAAATAATGCCCATCTTCAAATTGGGTAATCGGATCTCCTGGTGCCCCGAATCTTTTCAAAATGTCCCTTTCTCAATTCCCATCCTCATAATTCTCCATCATTGATTTTTCCTTTTTAGTTCTTCATGTTCTAAGCTGTTATTTCCTTTCCCAAGCTTCAAGTAGAAACGCAAAATAAACTAAAAAAAAATGATAGCAATTCCGTATTTAGCTGCTTTAACCACCTACTTTAGCTATGGACTGCTCTTTGCTTTTGGTCAAATCAGAGATTTTTTTCGCAAATTCATCGACTGCTGCTACACCTCCAATAATCAGGTCTTCTCTTTTTTCCCTTTAAAAATTTCCCATTTTTTCCCTTTATTTTAGCTCGAAATCACGTGTTTAATACTACCCTTTATTCAAAAGCAGGGTTATGCTCCAATCTGCTTAGGACTTGAAGATTTCTATACCCGCCGCTTGTATCACCGTATTCAGGTAATTATTTTTTCCAAAATTTGTTGTTAAATTCGACTTTTTTATTAGTGATTTAAGTTTAATTAAGCATTATTAGCATTATTATTCGGAAAAAATGCAAACTTGTTTTATGAGTAGAAATGAAATGATTAAAGCCAGATTGTAATGTTTGAAATGGCAGGATTGTTTTGGGAGACCCATAGCTAGTGCTCCTGATGCTTGGTTTGATGTGGTTGAACGTTACTCTAATGACAATAATAAGACCTTAAAGTAAGATATATCATTCACAGTTTGATGGTTTGAAAGTGTTAAGGTTTTGCTTTTGTATCAGCTGACTTTGATGTAACTGATTTTTATCTTAATGCAGACGCACTGCGAATATGAGTAGATGTCTTAACTTAGGATCCTACAACTACCTCGGTTTTGCTGCCGCAGATGAATACTGCACACCCCGTGCAATTGAGTCATTGAAGGGATTTTCATCGAGTACTTGTAGTAGCCGGGTGGATGGTGGTGTGTAATTTGCTTGTTAAGATTCTTTTGGTTAGGTGATAGTCTAGCTGAACTTCTTGCTAACCTGATGGCTGATTTTGTTACCAGGCACAACTGTACTGCATAATGAACTGGAGGAGTATGTTGCAAGGTTTGTTGGAAAACCTGCTGCTATAGTTTTTGGTATGGGTTATGTGACAAATTCTGCCATACTTCCAGCACTAATTGGGAAGGTTTGTATAGTTCATTAATGGGAGTTCTTTCTAAAGGCATGGTATTTGTACAAGTAAATTTGATCATATTCTAATTTCATTCACAGGGGGCCTTGATTATTAGTGACTCTTTGAACCACAACTCCATTGTCAATGGTGCAAGAGGATCTGGAGCAACCATTCGTGTTTTCCAACATGATAGTAAGTATTGATGTTTTATTGCAAGAATAATTCACATCTCATGTGATTATTAGGTAATTGGGGTATCAGGTCTTTTGCAAAGAGTTTTAAGTCTTATATGTGGTAGTGTAGCATATTAATGTGAAGGGATAATGGGTAATGGAGTAATGACTTTTTTGTTGAAAAGGTTTCTTCTATGATTTCGGTCGCTGACTCTTTGTATGTCTTAAGCATGTCTTTGTTCTATGTTGTGCCCACATAGGGCTCATGTTTATATGCTTCAGTTTGTGCATAAGTTTCCCTTATTCTTTATGTTTCTTTCAAATGCAAAGGATTCCATTTGAGAGTTGGATTGGAGGCTTTCCTACTCATGTTTTTTTACTGCTTGATATACAGCACCCTCTCACTTGGAGGAAGTCTTAAGAGAACAAATTGCAGAGGGACAACCTAGGACTCATAGACCATGGAAAAAGATTATGGTTATAGTGGAGGGAATATACAGCATGGAAGGAGAGGTCTGTAAACTTCCTGAGATCATAGCAATTTGCAAAAAGTACAAGGTTGGGCCTAGATAATAGCTTTCATTTTCTATTTTGATACCTTTGTTGAGCTGCATTTCGTGATAAAAGGTTCAAGTTTGGTGGTGTTCTAAATATGCAGTTTTCTAGGAATGTGCTCTGCTGTGGCTGTCAATATTCTCAGGATGATACTTTCCTAATATTTTTTTTGATAAATAATGGTTTAGGTTCAACTCCCACTGTGGTTGAATCAATAAGTTGGAATGTTGATGCTTTCCTAAATTGGCTTTGTTTAATCCAATGGATATACTCTCACAACTAATCGCATGGTGTTTCATTCCGCTCTCATTGCTTTTGTTTTCCCTCTGAAAAAGAAGGTTCATTTGCATAAAGTCTTTTCTCTTTCTCAGCATTTGAGCATTTCATTTCTGTCTTAATTTATTAAATTCTAATGATTCTTCTATCTTTATATTCTGTAATAGGCATATACGTACTTGGATGAGGCCCACAGCATTGGAGCAGTAGGGAAAACTGGAAAAGGTGTTTGTGAGCTCTTAGGAGTTGATACTGCTGATGTGGATATTATGATGGGAACTTTTACAAAGTCATTTGGATCATGTGGAGGCTATATTGCTGGATCCAAGGTTTGTTTCAAAGTCAAAACCATCCTCAGTTAGTATTCCTAATATATTAACCATATTGGATTGGCATTAATCTTGGACCTTATATGCATTATATTGTTATGATACTTTAGCTTAAGTATAATATTCCCCTTAAGGATTAAATTGTTGCATTCATGCAACATGGTGTTAATATGATGGCAGCTACTCATTAAAGATTATATCCCCTTTATTGGCAATATATTTTCTCAAAATTGGACGTTTTGGGTTGAGACTGGCATGTGTTGACTTCTTCTAATGCAATAATGTGTGTAGCAAAACAAGAGAAATACATTCAGGTATAAAGTCTTATGCGTTACATAACACTGCTTTTGCACACAACTTTCTTTTAGCAAGTTTCTCATAAATGCAATATTTTTGCCTATGTTGGTACTTGATCTGGCTTTGCTTCCTACTAATAGCAATCCTGCTACCTGAACATATTAGTAGCATTGCATCTTTCTTCCTTATTCATGCTTCTTTTGTTCAGTATTGTGGGCATATGAAATGAATTTTAAATCTGATTTTCTAATGTTGTTGACATTCACACCATTTCAGGAACTTATTCAATATTTAAAGTACACTTGTCCTGCTCATCTTTATGGAACTTCAGTCTCACCACCTGCTGCTCAACAAATAATATCTTCCATAAAGGTTATTCTTGGGGAGGATGGTTCCAATAGAGGTTGGGATTGTACTTCTCCTTTTGTTCTTGCCTTTTAACCTAAACATTATGGCATCTTAAATTGTCTCCTGCATTAGATTGATTATATTATTCTCAATCTAGGTGCCCAGAAACTTGCACAAATACGTGAGAACAGCAATTTTTTCCGGTCTGAATTGATAAAAATGGGTTTTGAGGTTCTTGGGGATAATGATTCCCCAGTTATGGCAATTATGCTTTACAACCCAGCCAAAATGGCTGCATTCTCACGTGAGTGCCTCAAGCAGAATGTAAGTCCTACCAATCTTGATGCCCTTAATTTTTTATTAATATATGTTCTGTTTGCATTCTTTTTTTTTTTTTCTTTAGTTTTGAATGCCTGACTAAAATCAGATGGGTCGCAGGTGGCCGTTGTGACAGTGACTTTTCCAGCAACACCGTTGCTGTTGGCAAGGGCACGCATATGCGTATCTGCTTCTCATACCAAGGAAGATCTTATTAAAGCCTTGGAGGTAACTTGTAGTATACAAACTCTACCTCCTGGCTTTCCTTGATGTTGTTATTAGTTTTAGTCCTTATACCTGTCATTTGAGAGAGAGAGAAAGACAGAGACAGATGTACATGTGTTTTGTCAGTTGTTCAAGTTGCAAATTGGTGCACATAGTCAATTTTTGTTCGGGATATTGCTGCTGACTTGGATTGGTCTCTCGTGTTGCAGGTTATCGATCAGGTTGGTGATCTTGTGGGTGTAAAATATTTCCCTGCAGAACCAGAGAAACAGCAGCAAGAAGAAAGGATGAAATTGGAATGAGAAATGAGAACCTTGATCTAGCAACAAGAAAAGAGGGTATGGAGAAGCTGGAGTAAAAAGGGCTATCGTTTTATTATTGCCTTGGTATGATGGATATATGGTTTCCTTTCGATTTATCACAGTTTCTGTACAATTAAGGGGTTCATACCTTGCTCCAAGAGAGCCTGTCTGTTCATACATAGTGGAGTCTAGCAATCCTTTTTATCTTATGTTTTGATAATTTGTACAAAAGCATTTGTATTTTGTTGTTTTGTACGCTGACTCTGTAATGTTTTGAAGCTATCATGATGTTGGGTTGGGTCTTTTTCTCTCTTATGTTGCTGACTGCTCGCAGTGTCCCTAAGCTGGGGGTTGGGACTGGGAGGACTAATCATCTAAAGAACATAAATGAGCAGAGAAAAGCTAGTTTGGCTCCATTATAATCAATTCATCAGCTTGGGCAGAACTAGTGTTCAAGTCAAGCTTAAGCATTTTCTTCAAAAGTCACCTCCTTTGAAAATGCCTAAATTCAAAAAAAAAAAAGAAAAAGGGGCCACCCCCAATCATAGTTAATATCATGGTAATTTGTAAGCAGACACAAGATTTAGAAGAAGCTCGGAGTTTTCCATGCTAAACAAAAAAGTTCTTAAACATATCATAGTATTTGTTCCACTCAATTAATTGTTACTTTAAAAATAAACTTAATTGATAGTATATACTTATATTTCATTTGGTTGGTTGGTATTTTAAATTTTTTTTAACTATTTGTTTCTTGTTCTAAGTTTATTTTATATTATTATTCAAAAAAAGTATTTTATATTATTTTTTTAATTTTAATTTTCATTTTTATTGAGAAAAGGTATAAAACACAAACGAAAGGAATTTAAGTAATTTCAAATTTTATACTGGTGTGGCAGTGTATATATATATATATATATATAAAATTAAAGTTTCCATGTCACATTAATGGTATTTATTGGTCAGTTTGTTTAATTTTAATTTGATAGGATACTTGATTGAGTTGGTCGGATGGGCTAAAAATTGCAGTACTCAATTTAAGTTCAAGTTCAAAGTTCGATGAATTTGAGTAGTGATTAATAATATATTAGTACTTATAAATTTTTTTAAATTTAATTTAATTATTATTAAGTTAAGTTTAAATTCAAATAATTTAATTTATCGGTAAAATTGAATTTAAATATTTTTATATTCGGTTCAAATAATTTATAATTTTAATCAAATTTTATATTTTAATATATTTAATTATTTTAATTAATAAAATATTTTAAATTTAAATATAAATAATTAAAATTTTATCAAATATAAAAATTAAATTTATTTTTATATATTAATCAAATTTAATCGAATGAATTTAAACAATTAAATTTTTATCTTAAATTAAACTTGAATAAAAAAATAAAATTTGATTAAATTAAAATTTAAATTTAAATCTCAAATTTATAATCAAATTCAAACTTAAAATTATATTAAAATTATATTGATTTGAACTCGATTTATTATAACCGTATTTCAGACTAATCGGTAAAAGCAGCACCAATCGTGAGGCCAAAGGAACTTGCTTTAATTGACTGCAACATTGTTCTTGTAGATCTTCAGATCAATAAATACCACAAGCCCATTTGCATGGCAGCCACCTGGCAATACAAACTCAGCAATTAGAAAAAAGAATACCCATCACACCATTCTTCTAATTATTTATCAATCCACGCACTTGCATCACTATTACCGTTGATTTCTCAAACATGTCAAATTGCTGATTCCATTTATGTCTACCTTTCAACTCAAGACATTCCAACTCCCACTACGCAAACTTGCTTTGCCCAACCCAAGGAGGAGAAGCTCAGAGCGGTTCACGTTTCCCAGTTTCAATTTCAAAAAAACCACTTGATTTGGTAAACAAAGAGAGAGAGAGAGAGAGAGAGAGAGAGAGGGTGGTTTTATTTCACTTCCCATTAATTACAAGCCCATAGGCCATTGATTTCTGTTGCAAAACCATGCATGCAGAAATTTTGCGACACTTGGAATCTCGCCACCTTCCACTCGTCAGCCATTTCTTGGGTGTGCCTTCCCATTTCTCAACATTAACTTTTACCCTCAACTATGGTTAGTTTCCCTTTTAGGTTCTTTCTCTATCAACCCTTCGCAAAATTACACACCCAGGAATCCACATTGCACATTTGTCACCAAAACCCAAAACTTAGCTTTGTTTTTCTCTTATACTGTTATCAATCAAAACCCAGCTTGAACCCATCAAAGTTTATCCAGTGTTGTTATCAGAGTGAGAACATTTTTTTTATTATTCAGAATGGGAACAAAAGATCTAAAAGCAAAGCATGAATGTGAGATGAACAAATGTCACAAGAACCAGGCAATATGTATTCACCAAAACCTTGCTAAAAATAGCAAAAATAAAGGGCTACCTTTCTCTTTAACCCAGAACCTCCATTTCGTGATTGCCGAGCGTCCATCACCGGGTCGTTTCGATCTGCACAGCCAGAGAGAAGCACTCTCTCTCACAGAAATCTAAAGCCTTTTTTTCTTTGCTTTCCTTTCTATTTTTGTTCAGCCAATTGAGCTTAGGCCCAAAAAACCCTGATGATGGCTGCAGCTACTCCTAGTGTTCATAAGAAACCCGAGGCCTTTGCTTTGTTGGCAGGTGTTGAGGGTGTCACTGTGGAAGGGGACAACACCCATCAAATCTCGGGTAGATCCGGGTTGAGCCGTGACCTTGTCGCTGCTGTGCCAAGCTTTGGTGTTAACAGGAAGAAAAGGATGGCTAGACAAAGGAGATCATCTTCCACCATCAAACTTCTCTCTTTTACTAACTCCTCCAGTAGCTCGCACGTGCCATCGTCCACTCTACCCGGACGTGTGAGTTTTCTCTTTCTTAGCATTTCTCAATCTTTTAGTTCAGAGTTTTCAAAACAAAAAATTTTTCATTGCTCAAAATATCAGCTAAATTCAAGTGAATTTTTTCATGTTGGGGCTCTCAATAGAGTAAGAGGGATGTTATAGTCATAGAAATGAATTATGAATTTTACATAGTTTATACATTAAAATCGATTTTAAAATATAAATATTCACGTTATTTTTAATTTATAAAATAAAATCGTAAGACCACGTCGAGAAATGCTTGTGGACCGTAAGAAGGGGTTGACCCTCTTCATTTCTGAGGTGTGAACTTGGCTACTGTTATTATTATTATTTTTTAAAATTTTGGTTTGCCTAAATATCTTAGGCCTTTTTTAATCCGTCAGTTGCTCCTGCTTGGGCTAAATGTAATACTAATAACAGATCTATGCAAATGCTTGAGATTTTGAGACTACTAGTATTTTTTTCTTTCTTTATTTTTTTTCCATTGCTATATATACTTGTCAATCTAGCTATAAATAACCATATAAATTCATTTTTTCCAGCAAAAAAAATGAAGTTTTGTTGTCTTGTTATATAAATAAGTATATATGCTACCTCTCAGAAGAGAACTATAAAGTTCCATCAGCCGTGAGCATAGAACATCTCAGAGAAAATCATGGTCTATAGACAAAGGAGGTGCTTCTTTTATAAGTATGGCAACAAAATGTAATTTAATTTAGGGCTCTTTGTCTCAAAACTTAATAGACATTTGACCTTTTTATATATTAAAAAAAAAAAAAAACCCTAGCTTAAGGGATTAGAGAAAGAATTTTATGTTATTTTTCATCTTACAATTAACGGATATATAAAATCTCGTAACGTAAGATTATATAATTACTTGAATCGCAATCATTTTATTATTATTTTTTTTTATATTAAATATTTGTAGAGATCTCAGATACACATATCAGTAACAAATTGCCACCTCAAATATGGAGTATAGTAGGAAACTATACTATTTCAATTGCCTAATAATTTCGTCAAATAATGTGTCAAGACTCCCATTCTCACATGTATTTGTTCGTTTCTTTTTTTTTCTTTTTTTTTTTTTTGGGGGGGGGGGGGGGTGGGGATATTGCAATGTGGTCACCCTATCTTGTTGCATCATTATTGTCTCATAGATATAGTGAATTTTGGATTCTGCTATCTGAATGGTTCTATATTAGTATTTAGTGATAATTTTGCTGACCTCAGAACAATCTTGTTCTTTAGGTTATTGATCCAAAGAGATTGAGATTTCTTTTCCAGAAGGAACTTAAGAACAGTGACGTAAGCTCTCTCAGAAGAATGATACTCCCAAAGGTTTCAATTTATATATTACTTTTACATTTGTTTGTTTTTCTTTCTTTGAACTCTTATGATGCTTAAAACGTTGCCAGACCCTGTAATAATTTATCCGAATTGTTCATGGAAATTAAATTCTGAATAATACTCCTTTTTTATTATTGGATCAGAGAGCAGCAGAGGCTCACTTACCTGTCCTTGAGTCCAAAGAGGGGATTCTTATCAGCATGGATGACTTGGATGGCCTGCATGCGTGGAGCTTCAAGTATAGGTAAGTTCTCTAATTGATCCCTTCTATGTGTTGGCAAGATTACAATGGGAAACTTGATCACCAATAATTAATAAGGCTTGCTTCATGTGGATGGAATTCCATCTGGTTGGATGAACATCCAGCACAATAATTATATTTTATTTTCATCCTTAAATTTGTAGTATGATAAACTTTTTTTTTTGTTTTTGTTGCCTGCTTTGTAAGCAGGTTTTGGCCTAATAACAATAGCCGTATGTATGTACTGGAAAATACTGGTAAACACATCGTCCCCTAGCTCATAATTTTTCCCTTCCATTTTATGCTTGGAAAGATTTTGGTTGTCAAACCATGATTCATTATTGCTGCGATGAATTTTCTCAGGGGAATTTGTTGACACACACGGATTACAACTTGGGGATTTCATCATGGTGTATCAAGATAGTCAAAATCAAAATTATGTATGATTTGCCAATCTGGTTTTTAGATTTGTATCATTAACTTCTCAACTCTTGATTGCTACCATTAGTCTCTCATTAATTTCAGGTAATCCAGGCTAAGAAGGCCTCTGATCAAGATGTATATACAGACATAGCTAGAAATGGCGTGAATGACATTTCTCTCCATGATTATGAGGTTAGTAAATCCAGCTCCTCCTACTATTATTATTATCCCACGATGGACGATGGTGGCATGTCATTTATCTATGACACGACCTTCTCAAATGACTCTCCACTTGATTTCCTGGGTGGATCGATGACCAACAACTATTCAAGGATGGGATCCCTGGAAAGCTTTGGGTCGGTTGAAAACTTGTCCCTTGATGAGTTTTATCAAGTTTAATTAATTACAATATTATTGGTACTGTTATTTTGTTAAACAAAATTAGCTGGCACTGCAAACTTCAATTTCGTCTTCAAGTTTTCTACTTTTGCATCAAAATCTCAGCAGATATAGTCCAATGAAAATAATAATAATAATAAATAAACAAGTGAAAGAAGTTGTAGGTATTCCTATCCTGTGTTTCTTTTGACATGGACATGACTATATCTACTACTAATCTCTCCGATTTGTATAATATATTTACTAATTCTGAATCAAATACTCGGCACATCTATCAAGATATATATGCAACATCGACCAAGGGATCTCCAACATGAGTTAAATGCTTAACCTTTCCTTTCAATCAATCTGGAGTTTATTGGCTCTATTGGGTTTTACTTATATAGCAGAAACATATATATCAGATGAAACAAACAAAAAAAGAAAGCAATACATTTGTTGACTTAGCTAGCAGCAGGCATGGAGAAATGAGAATTAAGCCTCATCCATTGGATCATCCTTGTTGACTGTTGTTTTATGGCCGTGATGGGATTGGGAAGGGACGAAAGCCCGCCTGCCTGCGGTCACAGTGCAGCTAGCTAGTGCAAAAAATAAGAATCACCCTGCAACCTCTCTGTTCCATCAATGGCAGCTAAACAGCTATTTAGGTAACCGATAATGGTCATGAATTTGGTCTAATTTGTTAATTCTAAGTACTTAACACAAGTAATGAAAACTATAATTAATTAATGGATATTATTTGTCCCTACGGATGCAAGAGGCTAAGCGATTGATTGTAGTAAGGATGAAATATATATATATATATATATTTTATAAATAACAAATATATATTAAAAAAAAAAATTCAATCTTACTTAAAAAATAAAACATTAAAAGTACAATGTTTAACGAAACAAACAATACTAGTGCTCAGATTTTAATTTTTTTATGAGTAACCATCCAATATTTAAAGGGTTAATATTTTATTTTATTATTATGAATATTATATATAAGCTCCAAAAAAATACAGCTGGCCTTCACATTAGAATTACTTGATATATGGAAAATAATAAAAAATTACTTTCTTTTTTGTCAATTCCTTGATATGTATAAATAGTCCACCTCCATTGATATGAATCTGATCCAACACACAGCATCTTTTTACCTCCCCTTAATATAACACCCAAAAAAAAAAAAAAATGGAAGTTACCAGATAAAGTCATACTAAAGATTGTACCTGTTTTATATGATCCTTCCTTACCCTTGCCAATTGCCATAGTCAAAGCCACGGCACCTGGGACTCTGTTGTCTCTCTTTGTTTCTCTCTTTTGTTGTCAATGGCGACCAGATACTGGATGGTGTCTCTTCCGGTTCACAACTCGGCCTCGACTTTGTGGAATAGTTTACAAGACCAAATCTCCAAGCATTCCTTCGACACTCCTCTTTACAGAGTATCTTATCTAATAATCTCTCTTTCTTTTTCCCAATTTCATCTGATTTTCTCATCCTTCTATTTCTATTCAATTTTTCAGTTCAATATACCCAATCTCCGTGTCGGAACTCTCGATTCCCTCCTTTCTCTCAGCGATGATCTCTTCAAGGTAATTTCCCTCTTTTTACTATTATTATTCTATCTCAATTTCTTTTCTTTCTGCTTTTTGTTGATCAAATTCTAATCTTTTTTCTGTGATCTTCTAACTTTCTGATGATTCAACTGAAGCCCTGAAATTAAAATTTATCAGCTTTGCCTTCTTACTTTGATTTATACACTGTTTGCTTTGTGTCTTTAGATTAGTTTAAAATAAAAATGAAGGAAATTAGTAGACTTTATGGAATTGAGTTTGAGTTTCTTCTTTTGGTGATTTCCATGTATGAGCAGTCTAATAGCTTTATTGAAGGAGTTTCTCACAAAATCAGGCGGCAGATCGAGGAACTGGAGAAGGTATCTGGATTGGAGAGCAATGCTCTCACTGTTGATGGTGTCCCCATTGATTCTTATCTAACCAGGTAAAATTTTGCTAAATCCAGTGAATGAATGTGGCATTGGTTATGGATCTCATAGGCTATTATGGACGATGTATTTTGATACGAGTTCATTTTTGGTGATGTGATGGCAGGTTTGTTTGGGATGAAGCAAAGTACCCGACGATGTCCCCTTTGAGGGAAATTGTTGATGGTATTCACACTCAAGTGGCAAGGATTGAGGATGATCTCAAGGTAACAACTCCTTAGCTGAATTTTTCTGATTTATACACCTCTATACATGTTGGTTTATGATATGTATCAGTTGAATGGAAAGTTAGGTCTTAAAGTGTTGTTTATTATGTTAGGTTCGCGTCGCTGAGTATAACAATGTGCGTGGGCAGCTTAATGCCATAAACCGAAAGCAAAGTGGAAGGTATGACTGCTGCTTCAGTCTGATTTGTGCATATGCAAGAATATTTTGTTTTTAATAGCTGATCAACTTCTGTATATTTTAGCTTGGCTGTTCGTGATCTCTCTAATCTAGTGAAGCCAGAAGATATCATTACTTCAGAACACCTATTGACTCTCCTAGCAATAGTTCCCAAGTATTCACAGAAGGATTGGCTGTCAAGCTATGAAACATTGACTAGCTATGTGGTAAGCAATATCATCCTTGGTTTAAAGTTCAAAATTTAGCTGCCAATTCATTGCTGCTTGTGATATACAATGCCACCGACAGAGCGGTTATTCTTGTGATATTTTTCAACTCTCTGGAATAGCTTAATCTTGGAGTGCTGACTAGTTGTTCCAGTTTATTACCAGTGATGTGAGCAATAGACTTCATTTTTGGGATAAAATTCCTTGATTTATTGATGACAGAAAGTTGTTGGCTTTAGCTTATTATTTATAACTATTTTTATTTCTCTTACTGATTGTAGCATTGACTTTTTGTATCAGTAGACTTGTTTATTTATAGTTATTAAACTTTCTTATGGTTTGTTGAGGTCATTCTGAGTAACACATCTATGCGTTTTCAGGTCCCTAGGTCCTCCAAGAAGTTGTATGAAGATAATGAATATGCTCTTTACACTGTCACATTATTTGGTCGTGTTGCAGACAATTTCAGAGCTAGTGCACGCGAAAGAGGCTTCCAAGTGAGTGCACTCTATGGTTGCATTTACTTTTCTATCTGAGTGCTTTTTTTTGGCATTCTCATGCATGAAGCATGCAATATTAAATTATAAAGTGTTATAACTTTCTTGGAGAATGTCTTATTCCCATTGTTGCTTCATTTCTTTTGATGTCATTCAGATTCGTGATTTTGAATATAGTCCAGAAGCACGAGAGAGTCGAAAGCAGGAACTAGAGAAATTGATACAAGACCAAGATAGCTTGCGAAGCTCTCTTTTGCAATGGTGCTACACAAGTTATGGAGAGGTATTATATATTTCCCTTCCTTTTGCGATGAAATCCCTCAAGTCTTACTATATTTTGAACTGTTTTCTGAATAAGTTGCCTGCCTGTAGGTTTTCAGCTCCTGGATGCACTTTTGTGCTGTACGTGTCTTTGCAGAGAGCATTCTGAGATATGGTTTGCCACCATCTTTCCTGGTAATTTTAACTAATTCATTTCCATAATTGTTTGTGAACCAACATTTGCTTGATGACTGAGTGCTGGTTTTGAACTATATCAGGCATGTGTTTTATCCCCACCTGTGAAGAGCGAGAAGAAAGTGCGGTCCATCCTTGAAGGATTATGTGATAGTGCAAACAGGTAAGTCCAACTGGCTTTATTTTTGGCTTTGTGTGATAAAATTGACAAAACCAGAGTGAACATGGTATAAACTGCCATGGTTACATTTTGCATATCTGGCCGATATGAGTACCAAAAAAAAAGAAAAACCACTACTCAAATCCCCCTATTGTTACTGGGAATTGTGTTGAAATGAGTTATTTTTTTTAAGCACATGCTATAATTTTTCCCAGTTGGTGTGTACATGGCTAACAATGGCTGTGCAAATCCAGAAGATACTAAATTATCGATGCTGTTACAAAATAACCAACTTTAAATTTGTCCATCCTGAAAAATTGCCTTAACTCTCTTACTAATTTCCTACTTTCCCTCAGTTGACACTGATAATGATCCTTTTTAAAATGCAGCACATACTGGAAAACTGAAGATGAAGGTGGAGCAATGGCTGGTTTAGGAGGTGATGGTGACGCCCATCCCTATGTCTCCTTCACAATCAACATTGCTTGATGAATGCCAGGTCTTGAGTAGCTTTGCCTGTCCTTGAATCCGTAGCAGATCTGTCAAGACATCAATAGCAATAAGGAAAAAGTGTTGGAGATGCTGTAGAGTAGGTTCAATAGCTCGATTCTTTAGTTATTGATGGACATCCTCAACATAGGGAGCTCCATTTTTTTAGGTTTTTGTGGAATATAGAGGATGAAGCTTGTGGGGAAGCTGTCTGAAACTTTTTTTATTCTAAATTTGAGGCTTTGATAGATGGTTTCTATGTATAACAAGCAGCAATGTTTAGGCTCCACCTGTGCTTCTCTATATATTTGTGTATTTGGTAATTGTGATTCCTTCTTATATTATAAATGCATCTTCTGCTTGTTTCTCTGAATTTGATCTCTTTTCGAGCATACAGCATAAAACGTTGGTTGAAAAAAAGGAGCCTTTGTACGATAGTCGTAGAAGTCAGATTGAATGCCCAATGGCTAAACTGCAATATCGGTGGTGGTTCAATTATATGCCTGTAGAACTAGATTGTTTTAATAGCTAAAACAATTTAACTGTCTGATGAAAAAGAGATGTGCCTTATTAGGCGGAACAAGAAATTATGAACCCAAAACATCACAATGGCTACAATAATGTGAACTTCTAAGGAAGAAAAAGCATAATTTCAAAAGCATCACCAGACAATAAAATCTCTCCGCATACAATTGAAAAACTTGCTTAAAAAAGGTAAATCAATAGTATATCCCTCATCGGCTCATTAGTTTTTGCTGCAGCTACGCTGCATGGGGAAATTGATCTTCAATTGAAATTTCATGTATCATCTAACTACAAAAAAATTATTCTCCGGAGTTGATATAGAAGATGAGTCCAAAACCATTCTCCTGTCGAAACCAACCAACAGTCGTCAAAACAAACGAGCTGATAGAAGTTCTGAATGCAAAAGAATACTTTCCACCGTTTTGAGACCCATTCAAGCAATTTTCAGAAATCCTATGTTATGTTTATTTATCCCTAGGAAAAAGTTTTGCAGGCCTATTAGAACAACAAAACTATTCTCTCCACGTTCATCTTCCAACATTCTATGCCTTTGCAAGCACAGTAGCAGCATTTGCAGCAGCAGGAGCAACACCACCAGTGGTTGGCCTGAAAGATTGCACAAAATCCCATTAACATAAACCATAATTACATGAAAATCCATATTAACAGAGACTAATGCTTTATAACCACTATGCGAAGAACTTACAGTCCCACAAACACTTTGAAAGCGTCATAGATACCCCACTGTGCTCCAGTTAGTGTTCCAATCATGACAATACGGAGGGGAAGTCCACGGGTAAATAGACCCCATAAACCAAGCTTCTTCACAGCCTGCATAGCCAGAGGACAGTATGGTCAAGGCTAAGTAAAAAGTGATTCATAAATGACAATTAAAGATCAAAAGGACCATCCAAAGTACAGATTTTACATCACCAACAGTTGCTCCTTTGGCATTGTTGAGGAAAGAGACGAGGTTGTCAGCAGGATGAGAAACAATAGCACAGAAGACACCAGCAACATAACCACCAGCAAAACTAACACCAAGCTGCAGAGATTTGCTGCACTGGTCCTTTGGAGTGGGAATACCATACTTGTAGATCATCTCAACAATTGTTTCAAAAGAAGCAAACTTCATCATGGTATCTGAAGAAAGGAAGAGCGTCTAAATAATCTTACACTTTGGTGTAATTAGCAAATGCTAGAACTACCATGAAAAAAGTGGGAAGAAAAAAAAAGCAGCATGACCAAAAGATACAAGCTCCTAAGCAAGGAATAAAGATGATAAAGCCAGTAACTGGCAAATATACATGCCAAACTTACATGGAATCTGACGGCCCCAAAGAGGAACAATACCCTTGTACAATCTGAAAAGGGAAAAAGTTAGAAAGCTCGTTCTGAGAGACATTTTCATGTATTACTTAAACATAAAATTTAACAATGCTGAGAAGCATACCCAAGAACACCTTCAGATTTGACAAACTTGGGAAGGCCATCTGACAGACCCCTAGCAAAACCAGGCTGGGTTTGAACCCTGACCTTGACTGCCTCAAAGGGGCAAAGTGCAACATCAGCAATTACCTCAGCAGATGCAGAGCCAGCTAGATAGATCAACGTCTTGTACTTAGCAAAATATTCAGGTCCAGCAAGGTCAGAATAATACTTCTTGAAAAACTCATAGAATCCAAACTTGCAGGCACCTTGAGCACTGTAACCAAGAAGGGTAGGAACCCAACCACGGAAGAAGCCTCTGAGTCCTTGCTCCTTCAGCAGAACTCCAAAACCAGATGAGATACCCTTGTATTTTGCAGGGTCAATCTAGCAAAACAACAATCTAGATGTCAATTTAGATCTTCCACCATATTAATACCAGATTGCTAACAGAAAAACAAATCCATAAAGTAACATCCACTGTTCTATTGTAAAATCATCATGGTGTCTATGATGTATAGTTGTCAGGTGCATCAAATACTAACCATTACAATGAAAACAAATAAAATCGTATTCATATAACAAAACTTCTCCCCTTAAAGTAAGGAAATCCTTCTACAAACAATAAAACAAATAAAATTACAACTACTACTAAGACTAGCAAATAACATAATGCACATAATAAAAATAAAGTAAAAGTATCTACCACGAGATTAATAGCGAGATATTTGGACAGAAAAATCAAATCTCGAATGCAAACAAAGTGAAACACTTATTTAGTTCCATATTTCAAAGGGAAACGAGTCTTTGAAACATAAATAACAGCTACAGACAGTGATTTAGTTATGAAACTAGAGCAGTAGAAACTAGGTACAGATCTAATAAGCAACAATTTGCCAATCAAAATTCTCAAGCGAGCAACAAGCTTAGCTCAGATTTAATCTTAAGAAAGTAGTACAAAATAACTAAGAAAGAAGGTAAAAAGAAGAGAGCCAGATCAGTATACCTGCATATTACACTTGACGAGGTCAAGAGGAGTAACTGCCATGTGAGTGAGACCACAGCTAAGGATACCGCCGACGGTACAAGCAGCGTAGAACTGAGGAGAGTACATCTCGATCTTCTTCCCAGGCTCATTGGGCGAGGCGATCATAAACGTCCTCGTCTTAATCGACGGCGACAATGATGGTGCGGGAGCATCGAGTTTAGAGGTGTGCCAAGCACCGAAGGAAGGATTGTTGGCGTTGAGGAGTCGATCGAGAGAGAATGAGTTGGGAATGGAAGAGTATAGGAAGCTTGGGAGAAGGGATTGTTTGTAGCAATCGGAAACTGAAGCCATCGCCGCCGAAAGAAAAAACGGAGAAAATTTGCGAAATGGAAGCAAAGAGGGATCGTTTGCCTCGCTTCGCACTCCCTGCCAATTGGTGTGTCGGAAAACCGTATTTATTGGGCAGGACAAAGGATGTAGAAAGAAAACCGGCCCTCGCGTGATTTATACGTACCATACCGAAATTGACCACATGGGTTTAACGTTAATTACGAAAATGACACTTTGTCAACTTTTTTAGTAGTTCTTTATGTTTGTTTTCCAAAACCGAGCGTAGTTGGTGGGCATGAGGGCCACGCTGGCTAACGGCATCTCCAACAAAATGAGGGGAAAAAAAACACCTTTCATTGTAATTATTAATAATTTTCTGTCTAAATTAGGAGAATGAAATAGGGTACAACTGTAACACAAAGTATAGCAAGTATTAATTAATAAATTTTGAAAAGTGTTTTTTGTCTGTCAAATAGGTGTTCAAATATCCAATTCTAATAACTTTGATTTTTTTTTCTTTCTCTGTTCTGTCTGCTTAAATGAATAGAAAAGAAATGCAAGTTCATTACAATTTTCTATATATAAACAACAATCATGTCATTATAACCCAGTAAAGGAATTACATTATGAATTCACTCTATAAAAATCAACAGTCATAACACACTACAAATCAAAAGAATCATCCAATTCCAACATTCAAAAGAATTCTTTTCTCTTTGGATATGATGAATTTTGAATTAAATATATAGAAATCTGAATGTTACAACACAGTGTAGAAGAATCACAAGTGAGAGCACGAGTTACAGGAGGATACAACTTGGACGAACGAATCATAGTAATGCCATATTGTAGCCATCATTTAACAATTCACTTTTCCACCTGCAATTCTGCTGTATGATAATACGATGTCTCAAACTCCAACTAAAGAAGCCTAAGATGTGCAGTATCATTCAACCGTTTTATCTGCCAACCTGTTTTCCATGAATGCTGTAATACAGTCACAGAAGAGTCTTCTATACAGATCTTATGTGACATTATGGGGCTGCAGTCGAGGAGGCCCGTGATGAGACATTTAATTGGCAGGGAATGAGTAAAAACACCAACAGAAGAGGAGGCCGAGGAGGTGGAGGGGGAAGAGGAACCCCTGACATTTAAGTCATGAAGGTCAGGCTGATGATTGGCTTCCCGAGGCGACATCTCATCATCAGCATCATGTTCACCAATATTGGACACAAATTGTAGCCTGCTCTTACCAGACTTCTTCCGTGATAGCCCATGTCGCTGCCTTTGAAGCATATCCCAATGGGGTGGTGAAAGAGAAGCTACATCTCTATCATGAACTGAGTTGGTTAGAGCATGGTTGTTATGGTGTGTAAATCCTCGACTCTCATTGTGGTGTAAGGAAAAATCAGATCTCAACTTTTCAGGAAGTCCAAGGACTGTTCCATTCAAGAATTGAACCATTCGAAATTCCAGTTGCCTGAGAGATTCTCCAGAAGGTGCAGAAAAATCAGGCTGGTATCTTTCCATTAGACTCAAAACTTCAGGTGTATATATTTCTGATCGAGGGCACCCCTCCCAATGCCCCATATTCAGATCCATAATTGCCTCTGAGGATTGTATCTGTGCCTCTGCAAAATTCATCTCCTGCATGGTTTTAAAGGATAGGCAATGTAGTTGACTCAATATCTAAGTGGGAAAACGCATAAATCTCACCTTATATCATCATCAAAGAAGCCTCTATCACAAATTAATAATTAGGGGATATCATGTAAAATATATAAACATTTGACTCAACAATCAATTATTGTTACCACTCCTAGAACAAAGGCAAGAATAGACACAGATCAAAGTCTTAGTTCCTAACAATGATTAGCCTTTTTCATGACATCTTATTTAGCATTTGGCTTTAACAAGGACCATAGCCTTTCAGAAATGAAGGCTAAAGTTACCATCTATTTACACATTGGTCAAGAAAATATAACAGGTAGAAGCTTATCCTTTAGAACTGTTACGAAGTATTTACAGTAAGTATAAAGCAGTTGAAGTTTATCACTAGTCTAACCATTGGTTCGGCTCATTAATGAAGCCTGATCCCTTCACTATTTGACACTTCTTCACTTTTCTTTTCACAGGTCAAGGAAAGTAAGCTGAGAGTGTGTTACGGATTAAATTCACTTGGCAATAAAAATAGGCAGTAAAATTCCCTCCTAAAAGAAGAGAAAATATATTTTTCACTGATGCCATTAACATATATAGCTCTCTTAGATATTCACTAATAAATCTACTTAGAGTAAATTTCCTTTAATTTTGTCAGAGTCCACTCAAATAAGAAATTGAGATGAGGACACATCTCAGCATAGTTTCCATCACTATATTAGGACATCTCCAGTCTAAGCCCATGCACATTTAACAAACTACCAATAAAGAATTTGATAAGTGACTTTATGACATGCATGAGGAACTTACATGTATTTGCAGTCATTAATTCAACCTTTATTAACTTTGCATACATCTAATAGTATGTATCATAAGTTCTCTATAATTTAGTGTCTTCTACTCCAAATGAAAATAAAATAGAAAAAAGAGAGGGAAGTGAAGAAATTAAAGAACAATAAGTTTGTCATACGAGATGCACGGTCATCATCACTAGTTGCTTTCACTAATAATCTATTCATAGCACATAACCTCAGCCTGTTGTTTGATCACTTCAAGAATCATTGCAACTGGCATCACATGTACCATATCATATACAACCTTCTTCAACAAGTCCTTACGAACTGCTAACCTCAACAAAGCTTAAAAGAAGTAGCACTCATTCGCTACTTAATCCCAGTCAGCACTCTACTCTGTTTAAGACCATATAGCAAGTTAAGATGCCTCTTTCCATAAAAAGGCCTCCTATGTGAAGCCAAGAGTTGCAACTTTAACTTCCTTTTCCTATTGTGAAGCCCTCAAATTGCAAAAAAAGGGAGAAAAGTGAACAGAAAGAATACACAGGGAAAATACAACTAAACCAAACATAAGAAGAATAAAAAGTATGCTGATGCTAAATACTAATTAAAAACTATGTATTTCAACTTGAGTACACATCATCATGCACCTATGGAAACTCTCAGCAAACACCAAACAAACGGTACAGGTCAGTGTAATAGAATTGATTAACCAGGATGAGATGAGGAGACTTCAGCAACCTAACACATACAACATAGAAGCACATATCAAAGCAATCTAAATATCAAGATTCATCAGGAAAAATCCACTCTTTCCATCATCATACGGGCAAAAAGTTAACTAAATCAGGGCCAGTGGGTAGACAACTTCATACCATGACTAGTTGGTCGAATGGTATATAATTTTCTCAACTCATCGATCCTTACTAGAGAGAGCAATAAATAGAACCGAAATTCTAATCCAAATCCCAATTTCTATCCTATTCTTATTATCTCCTAGCTTAGCATGCAGGCACTTGATAAATCCCAAGTTGTAGCAGGACCAATTTCTCTATTTCCTCAAGCGATGTTAAAGAGATGAACAATTAAAGCTCAAACTTTTATCCTAATTAGCAATTCTATTACTCTCTCATACTTCAATTTCCTTTATTCTTTTAAGAAGAATCAATACAAAAGAAAAAAAAAAGGCCTTTCACCTGACAAACGGAAAGAGCCATCGATCTAGCCCGATCCAACGGAGAGCAATAAACGACATTAAACCTGACCCCTTGAGAATTTAGGAACACAGCCAAGGCCCTGGCTTGCCGCTTCCCATTAGACGTCAAGGCGGCCCCGTCGCATCTTCCACCCACAATATCAGGCCTCAAATTCAACTCACACTCACCATGGCTAATCAAATAAACCTCAATCACCATCCGATCATCAACCAAAGAAAAAGTCCGAGAGAAAACAGGGGGAGGAGGCAGCGGAGGAGGTGGAGCTAAAACGTTATATGGGTCCCATACTTTGATTGAAGGACCCATCCGAGGAGTACCCAACGAAGATAGCTGTGGAGATAGGGGGGATGCTGATGCGTAATAGGGTAACATTTCGGGCTCTTGTTCGAGTACTTTCTTGACCAAGTGGTTGTTTTCGAGTTCCCTTATGTTGGATCCTTCTTCATTGTTGTCTTCTTCTTCGTCTTCTTCTTCTTCATCTTCGTCTTGGCTTTCTTCTTGTTCTTCGTCGACTACTTGTACGGATTGATTGGAGCCCATTTTTTGAGGAGATTGGGATGATCTAAGAGAGGGAATTGGACGATCTAATGGAGGGGGTTGTGGAGTTCAGGCAGTGCATTTTAGTTTTGGTTTTGGTTTTGGTTTGGACATGTGTTATGCGCATTTTAGGAATGAATGACATGAGATCTAGGTTAACTGCTATTAAGGATGTAAAATTAATATTTGTAAATTATTTGGTTTCATTTTAATAAAATTTAAATTTGATTTAATTATTATCAAATTGAGATTGAATTCAAGTAATTTAATTTATTAATTAAATTAAATTTTTATATTTTTATATAAATTCGAATAGTTCATAAATTTAATTAAAATTTTTAATAATTTTAATTATTTTAATTAATAAAATTTTTAAATTTTAGTTCGAAATAAATAATTTAATTTTTGTCAAATATAAAATTGAATTTATTTTTATATGTTAATCAAACTTAATTGAATGAGCTCGAATAATTTAATTTTATCTTAAATCGAATTCGAACTAAAAAAGTAAAATTCTATCAAACTCGAATCGAGTTTCAAATCTCGAATTAAAATCGAGCTCGAATTCAAATTTAATATTATATTGATTCGAACTTAATCGATTACATCTTTAGTGTAGATACATACAAGGAGACAAACAATTTTTTTTATGAGAAATTTTAAGATAAAATTCAAAATAATAAAATTGTTAATTTGATACATAAAAAAATTATAATTATATATTTTATACATCATTAACTAATTTTGCTAATCAAATTGGTAATGTATATAAAAAAAAATCAATAATAACACCCATGTGTCTTCAAAAGTCACATCATTTTTTAATTTTTTTTCTAAATTTTATTTTTTAGTTAAAAATTGGAAATATTAAAAAAAAAGAAAAATTAAAACATCATAACATGATTGGATAATGGCAAGTGACATTAATTAAGAAAAAAATAAATTAGTGAATCTGTTTAATCTATTGGCAAGTGACATCTTGTTTGAAGAAATAATGGCAAGGATATATGGCAACAGAAGATGCAGGCCAATCTGCATGATGCAAATGCAGCCACAATGGTATTTTTATCTGACGACGGCAGCTAGTCTCCTTCTTGTAACATTGTATTTTAGCAAACCTCTTAACTAGTTGGTGTCATTAGTGTTCTGTTGGTGGGTGTGCTTGCTAGGTGAAAAGCATAGTCTAATGAATTGAACGCATTGGGAAAGATTTTGTATGAATCGCCAATTAATTAAGCACAAGGGATGAATCCCATCTTTGTCTTGCGTGGGAACTAGAGTAGCATATATGGAGGAATAGAGAGAGGAAACCCCTAGCTTTTTAATATTTTAGAAGATCGAGTTGCAAAGCAATATTTGTTAAGTTTTGGGATTAATCGACCATTAAACCTTTGTTTAAATTTCATATCGTTTGATATTAAACGTTTCCAAAAATTATATTACAAATAAACTTGTTTTTAATAAGGGGATTTGAATTTTGAATTAGGCTGAAGCTAACAAGAAAACATGAAACTGATTCTTGAGATAATTACCCTGAATCCTGACCGTTGGTGATGCAAATAACATGCAGGAGATAGGGTAAGAAATGAAAAAGTACGTAAAAAGCAGCTGCTATCCTATATATTTTTCTGGATAATTACTTATGTATCATTAAATATTCTTTACATAATCCTTTTGCAAATGTTCATTCGCTTCTTCTTCTTCTTCATGAAACCAGTTTCAGCGGACAGATTTTCAAAAGGTTAATTTTATCAAGAAGATCTGTATGTTTTAAAAACTTTGTTGTCCAAAGTATTTAGTGGTCAAAAAAATATAATGATTTTTTTTAATGATAAAAGTCTTCAACAAATAGTTATGAATAATTTTGATATTTGTATAAATTTAATATGTCAAATCGATCTAATATATTTAATGTTATATTTGTTTAATCACATTTTTATTATCTTTTAATGATTCTTTATTATTTATCTATAAATATAAATGTTCAGATACTATTAAGACAAATATGTTCTACTCTTAATTCTTTTTATTATTTTCTTTCAAACTTCACTTATTTTTACTTGTATATCAAAGTACAAACATAAAAAATATTTCTTATTTTTGTCTCCAAATATCATTTTTTTTTATTTTTCTAAAAATACCTTGACATCAAAACCCATCATGAACATATGTGATTTTTATAATTCAAGATTTTTTTTTCTTTAATCTCTTCAAAGATGACGATGGAATCTTGAAGAAGTAATAAAGTAATCTTGTACTCACCATGAAAAAATGTATTATATGGCAACCAATTACAAGGAAAACAGTAGGAAAAAGAAATTCACATATATAATGCAATTGTTTTGATTTTTCTTAAGGACGTCATTACACTTGTCGGTTCTCCCCAATATAAAAGGTTAAAAAGACGCCTTCCTACCATGTATAGGATCCAACTTACCCTTAACAATTGACAACCCAAATGTGATGATGTCTACAATTGGCATAACACTAGCCCAGTTTGTTTAAAGTTAATCAATCCGTATCATAAAAAGACGACACCAAACCTGGTCATCAAATCCATTTCATGCTCAAAAGGACAGAAGGGGGCTCCTCCAATTTCCAATCAAAAGGGAAAGGGGAAAAAATTAAGTGGAATAGTAGGGTAAAAAGATTTGTCAGCACTTGCATTCCATGAATCTATATCCGGGTGGGAGATTAGATAATGTCCCGGGGCTACACCATTTATGAGCCGCCAAGTCTCAGAGTGGAACACTGTTTTATCAGGATTGATTGGATGTCCTAGTTAGTCCTGCGCATCAGCACATGGATCCATGCCAAAACCATACACAAAAATTAAATATGAAAACAACAAATTTCTTCTTCCAAAAGTTTCATTATCATTGTGAATTTGTGACAACCAACCCTTGTTTTGACAGGAGAGTTTCTCATCAAGCCCGGCCGGAACAATCATTTCCAAAAGAGAAGAAAGTTTTTAACTTCACTTCAAATCGAAAAGGAGAAAGAAGTTAATTATATGCTATACCTTTGTTTCTGCTACTTCATCTTTGGTATATCCAAATCTAAATATATCTTTACTGTAAACTAAGAGGTCACATACAATACATCTTAAAGAGCAATAAAAGGAATGTTGCAATGAGAGTTTTTTTTTATTATTATTACATATTTTTGAAGGGAAAATTGTAAATAAAGGTACAAATATTGATTAAATCCTACTACGTCATACTTGTGCAAGCATTTGTTGTTCACATAAGAGATTGTTAACACTTACTGATGCAATGCACGTTGATATCTGGTTGTAACAAACGCCTCCACTTTGTACTCTTTTTTTTTTTTTTTTTTAGTTTCATGAAATTTTAGAAATATTCTTGAAATAATTTTCAATTTTTGTGACTTAAGAACCTGTACTGCAAAAACTGCTTCAACCCTTGCTGCAGATGGTCCTCACCTCAGTGAAAAGACATGTTGCAAATGGCGTATGTTTGTATAATCAGATCGGAAAACTCAAAAACCTTCAAACTTTATAAGTAGAGACATGTTAAGATATTAGCTGTTTAATATTTTCTTGCGTCTTTCAACATTCAGAGCCGCAGCAGAGCTAGAGCTAGAGCTGAGCACATAAAACAACGTGAATTTTTAAATTCAAAAGAAAATTACTGTGAATTGACTTTTTCTTGCTTCCAAATATAGTATTTTGCAATGTAAACATTACACTAATAATAATTCAAAATCATAAATAAGATTGTAAAAAGGAATATTTTAAGAAGAAATTAAGAAGTTGTGATAAGTGCAATTTTTTTAAAAAAGTAAATTGAGATTTTCATTCACGAAAGTAACTTATTGCAATGTACACTAATAACAGATTGAAGGAAATTGGGAGGATGACAGAATAAGCTCATAAAACATATATGCTGGATAGATTTATAAAAATTGCGAGTTTGAGAAGATTAATTTAAATCTGTAATATTTTTTAAAATAAATTAAGTAGATAATGATAGAGGAAATTAAGAATTTTGAAAATAAAGGCTTGAAATTTGAAAATTAATTTGTGAATTAATGTTTCTCCTGTGAGCCTTTTTGGCTGATTTAGATCGAAGTAAGAAACGTATTTCTTAGTTTTCTAATGTTTTGCAATAAGCAGTCTGATTTTTATTAGTTTAATCATGGAAAAGTGATATCAATTAAGAATATAATCGATTAGGTTTAAATCGATAAAATATTAAATTTGAACTTGATTCGATATTTAAAATTTAAAATTCGATTCGAATTTAATTAAATTTTATTTTTTTAATTTGAACTCAATTTAAAATAAAAATTAAACTATTCAAATTTATTTAATTAGATTTGATTAATATGTAAAAATAAACTTAATTTTTATATTCAATAAAAATTTGATTATTTATGTTCAAATTTAAATTCGAATTTAAAATATTTTATTAATTAAAATAATTAAAATATAAAAATTTAATTAAATATATGAATTATTAGAATTAAATATAAAAATATTTAAATTTAATTTAATCGATAAATTAAATTATTTATATTTAAATTTACTTTGATAATAATTAAATTAAATTTAAATTTTATTTTAATTAAATTTAAATAATTTATAAATATTAATATATAATTTATGTTTTAAGACAATTATAGAATATGCAAAGCAAAGAGAAGTAGTGTAGGTAGCTAGAGTAGTCTTTTTAAAAGGTAAAACTGCCTTATTCCTTTAATCATCTTGTTCAAAGAGATATAATCAGTATTTGTAATAAATGGTTGGTCGGTCCATCACTACTCTTAACGAATTAGCGTGAGAATCCAAAACTATGCTATTCTCTTCCACGTTTAGTATTTATATATTAATTTAAACCAATTTCACTTGTACTTTGCTCTGCCATGCTACAGCTGGCTGCCTGCCTGCCTTACTTGTTTCTTTTAGCGACCAAAATGTTTTATAAATTCGTTTTAAACAATACCATTTATATATATGTATTTTTTTTTAATTAGAATAGTCAGTTGTGGAATCTTGTTGGATATGTTATCACTGCTGAATGCTCATCCTCTTTACTTTCCCTAATATATTCCTTCCTTCACTAAATATTATTTTCCCAACAAAAAAAAAACCTTCTTTTTTAAGAGATGAAGCTTTTGACTTTAGAGTTCCATTTGATGCAATTGCAAAGACATAATAACTTACTTATTGAAAGATAGAAGAAACCAATACAGCAGAAGACATTAATTTCCTTCTTTTATGGTTTCAAAAATGTCAAATGTAGCCCACGTTAAGATTTAAAAGTCAAGCATAACATCTTTTTCTTTTTGTTTTTATCTTTTCAGTAAGCAAAGTATATCCATTTTTTTTCTTTTCGGAAAGGAAAAAAAGAAGGCTTCATTGCCTCTAGAGAAAAGGAGCACTATATATAAAACTAAAACCATACTGTGTTTTTTTTTTTTTTTTTTTCAGTTAAAACTTAAAAGTGAGTAATCCTTATCCCTATCTATCCACATGATGCGGTGAAAGCAAAAGAAACAAAAGCAGGGCATTGAATTTGAGCGATTCTCTCTTAATTTTTTTGTTTAAAAAGAAAGAAACTAGTAGTACTAGCTAGTAAGTAAGTTGTTAGTTTCTGTTTCATTACAGGGATCATTAAATAGGACAGGTCATAAGTCATGTTCAGTCTCCACTCCTCTCTTGTGCATGGAAATGTGTGTCAGTTTCAACTTTCAGCTACAACAACGTTTTCTTCCTTCTTCTCAACCAATAAATTCCCTGCTGCCTGCAGATCTCTTTCTTCTTCATAACTGATCTTCCTCAGATTTATCTATTGATCAAGTCTAATATTTCCACTTCAGATCACTACTTAGTTTCCGACATGCTTAGATCATTAGCCAGGTACTCCTTGATTAATTTATACCTTCAAACTTAACTTGTGTTCCTTCTTTTTGTTTGACTAATGAATAATCCAGCAGGCAGTTCAAGTTTGTTACCAATGATCTATTCAGTAAGCAAGTAAGATTTTACTCCGCAGATCATGGTTCTCGCAGGAGGTAATTCAGCTTTTATCAACTACACCTTTCTTTTCATTTTTTGAATGGTAGAGTTTGAGATTGGCAAGTTTATCACCTTTGGTGGTGGATATATGGGTTAAACGATCTTCGTTTCTCTTTGAAATTAAATCTTGTGCCAAAAGCTGATGCTGAGTTCTAATTCTGAGCAGATCACATGTTTTTCCATTTGAGTTTAAAAGCATTAATTTTAATTTCAAGCAAGCATTTGTGATCTTTATTGTTTTAATGATCTTTCCCATGGCTTCACCCCTTACATCTAGCAAACCATTTTTTCTGAAAAATACTTTTGTATGAGAGACGTCTTAAGAAAATTAATGTAGCTAGTCTACACATGCATACAAGCTCGAGATCTGCCATATTTGAAGGTTCCTTTTGTTTTACCCATGTTTTCAGTCTTTGGCTTTATTCATTTTTAACATGATGAAACAGATCACTAACTTTTTTTTTTTTTTCCAAATTATGTAATCATTAAACATTTTTGGTTGAACCTTATAACCTGTGGTTACTTTTGATAATGGGGAAATTGTGGTCCTTTCAAATATTTGTTGTAATAAAGAATTAATTGTTCATCAATATTGGTTGTCCGCATGCATTTGACTTCATGAAGCTTAAGAAAAAACAGACAATTTTCTTAAAATTTTATAAAATTTACATATCATGCTTTTTAATACTAAAAAATTTAAAAAAAAATTATGAAAAACTAATTTATATAATATAAAAAATAAAAGAATTAGGTGTTACAATAAAAAAAACTTTTGGGACATTTTAAAAAAAAGATGAAAAAAAAGTGACAAAGTGAGTATTCGATTGGACATTGCTAAATGGATTGGCATTAATTGTCATCATTATGAACATTCGTTTTTTCAATACATTTTTTTGAATAAAACAATCATTCGCCCCTTTTTTCGCGTATGGTTAATATCTGCTTTGCTTATTTGGTTGTTCGTTCGAAAAAAGCAGGTTAGAAGGCAAAGTAGCCTTAATCACAGGAGGTGCAAGTGGGCTTGGCAAGGCCACTGCTTCGGAGTTCATAAAAAATGGAGCCCATGTCATCATTGCAGACATCGATTCTCAACTAGGGCCACAAGCTGCCAATGAGCTGGGCCCCGAAGCCCAATTTGTTCACTGTGACGTGGCCATTGAGTCCCAAGTATCAGAAGCTGTAGAAATTGCCATGGACCGTCATGGAAAACTGGATATAATGTTCAACAACGCAGGCATAGCTGGCCGGGCATTCCCACTGAGCATTGCAGAGCTTGACCTAGATGAATTTGATAGGGTAATGCGGATCAACGTTCGAGGCATGGTCGCGGGGATAAAGCATGCAGCCCGAGTGATGGTTCCAGTGGGATCAGGCTCCATTCTTTGCACGTCGAGCATTAGTGGGATTATGGGTGGGCTTGGGCCACATCCATACACAATAGCAAAATTCACAATACCTGGAATTGTCAAGTCCGTAGTTAGCGAACTATGCCAAAGTGGGGTGAGGATCAACAGCATTTCACCAGCTCCAATTCCAACTCCAATGGTGATACGTCAAATAGCTCAAATATACCAAGGTGTTCCAAAAGAGAAGGTAATTGAGATTATAAACGGGTTTGGGGAGCTTAAAGGAGCCAAATGTGAAGAGATAGATGTGGCAAAGGCTGCATTGTACTTGGCCTCAGATGAAGCCAAGTACGTAACAGGTCATAATTTGGTCGTTGATGGAGGGTTCACCAACTTCAAGAATCTTAGGTTCCCCGAACAGCTTGTTTAATACCATCCCTTTCGTTTTGCTTTCTTCTTTGATTGCCATTATCATATTAATTAAATTAGCTTTTGCTTGATATAAATATATGGACCAAGGGATTTATTGATCAGTACGTTTGTGTGATGTAAATGTAAAACTTATAAATACTGAAACTGAAATAAATATATAACAAAAAAATTAAGGGAAGAGCTAATACTTTATTGTTTGCGAAATTTAAAGTAAATAAATAACAAAATATAAGCCCATTGGATGCATATATACTTAATTTAGAGGTAGGAAATATATCGGAATAGCTAAGCCAACACTCATTTTTGAAAGGTGGCTAAATGTAGTCAAGGAAAGACGAAAAGGACAGCTGAGAAGGACAAACATGGGATATATAAATATGCTCAAATTAAAAAAAAAAAGAAAAGAAAAAGTTAGTTCCACGCATTTTATATATTTAGTCACGAGAGGTGCAACCCAAAATATTAATGACCTTGGCTTGGAATAATATATATATATATATATATATATTTGCAGCACTGATCTGATGTATATATTGTGTTTGCCAAGAAAATTGTACTCCCATCTCATTCAAGGAATACTTACTCTCTTTTTCAGATTTATTCATTCAACTCATCCAAAATTTGATTGATTTTGGCTGAAACTCACTTTTCCACCTTTGGTTTCTAACCACATTTCTAAATAATTTAGGAGGTTAAATCTTGTTCCCTTACTAATTTACTACTAGTACTCATATATGGATATGGATATTTATGAAATTGCAAAGACAGCAGTAGGCCAATATCCAAGAACTCATCATGTAATAGCCAATAGCCAATAGTCAAAGCCCCATAGGGTTGGGGATACATGAAGAATGTAGATTGCATGCCTTTTTGAGCTGACAGAGGTGTCCCTCTATTAATAGCATAAGGTCCCAGGGTTTGGTTTGGTGTTGGTCCCGTCTATATAAGCTGTCATGGTGGGCTCGATCACATTCACTCCTCACCTTTTAAGCATATGGACACCAATCGAGAAAAAACTTCTCCATATCCACGTCAATGGAAGTACTATATGATCAAGCCTTACCTTAATTGTCAAACATTTGTGTAAGAAATTAAGCTAAGAAAATTTTATAGGGTGGAGCTGGGGGAGCTATCAGGCACCAGCATCACCACATGCCGGTCAGGTTCACATGTCGGGAGAGGCTATTGGCAAAGGCAAATTTGCAAACCGCCAAGTTAAAAAAACAAAGGGCGGGCAGGTACTGTACAAACAACTATGATAGATCTTGACCTTGCATAGGAAGCCGTAGGACCATGCTTTTGATTAGTCAGTTTCTCTTAATTAGTTGCATGTTTGCCACGTGTTCTTTCATGTTATCCACGTAATTGTAGTCTCTCACGTGAAGAGAGAGGCCCAAAGTCTTGAGTTAATTTTGTTGAAAGTTGAAACTCTGCTTCGCTTTCCCCTCTTCCTCCTCGACCCTGGAGTTTCTGGACGGCTTAAAGAAGTTGGCAAATGGCAAAGCTGCAGTCAGTTTTGATGTGCTAACCAAAATCTAAGTTAACTTGAACCATCATCATCGATCTCTAGATGAATAGAGAGGGAGACAAGTGTAATAATGGGAAGAGGAGATCATAAACGATTTGAATTAACAAGAGGGAAGTTGGGGAATAAAAAGCGAAGGGTTGATTGGGGAGTGGGTGCGGTGAGTGGAAAGGAGATCACGAGAAACTTGGGTTTTCTTTTGAAAATTTTATTCCAATTTAAATAAAGGTGTTGCATGGAGAAAATGGCAAATGAAATGGACTCTAATTGCTTTGCTATTTGAACGGGGAAAAGGGAAGAGGAAAGAAACCACAGCGTGCAATTTGAATGGTACTAGTAATTAAGAAAGCGGCAGAGGCAGCCATTGCTTGGTGTAGAAAGAGCTTCAGGTTAACTCAACTGTGACCACATGCAATGCAAGCTACAGTCTGATCATCTTTTCTTTTTTTTTTTTTTTATTGTAAGAAATTAAAAAGGGAATATATGGGGTTAGAATGAATGAATGAATTAATGTGTGATAGGTTTTGAATGTTAAGTAACAATCTCCTTCCTCGTTTGATCATTGGTGTGCTTGTCTCACTTCTCTTCTGGTGCCCTTTTTACTGCATGATGATATTATATTATATTCTTTGTTTCTCTCTCTCTCTCTATACCATGAATGATCCAATTGGCATGACAGATATCTTTCTGAAAGATCAGGGCATTAAAAAAGAAGTGAAAATGACGTGTAATAGTATGTGATTTCATTTAATAGCTAGCTAGAGAGGATCTATCATTGAACTATTTGTTCCATTAACACCCGTATATGATGAGATATTGCTACAGGATTGATTTTTTTTTTTTTTGGATGGTCATTCATTGCCATTGGTCATGAAAGGGCAGCTAAACTTTTTTTTTTTTTTTTTGTAAAAGAGGGTTAGTGCCCTTACAAGAGGAGGGGATGATTAGGGATCGAATTGAGATAAGTTTTTATTCGTCATGGATCTAACTCAATTTTATAATAAAAAAATTTGAATTTGAATTCGAATTCGATTCTGATTTTTTTATTTTTTTATATTTAAATTCAATTCGATTCGAAATTAATAAAATATTATTTTTTAAAATATAAAATATTATTTTTTAAATATAAATATATAATTATATATAAATAAAAAATTAAAAAATAATTTTTAATATAATATCAAATCGACTTTACCTAAAATACTAACCCAACTCGAATCTAATTTTTTCCTTAATAATATCCAATCCGATTCGATTCAATCCAAAATTTGAATTTAAAAAAAAAAAAAATTGACCTTATATGATCAAGTTAGAATCTGTCGAACTCGAATCGAACTACCAACCTTAAAGATGACAAAGTAAAATTCACGCTTTACATAATTTTTAACTAATCTCTTAATCACTAGATTAAAAAAGAAAAATCAGAGCAACTAATAAGTATACACCAAGCAACTAATAATTATACACCAAAGTGCAGCCCTTAGATGATAATCGTGAAGGTAGTTGCTTAATTTGATTAATAAACGTTAAACCCCAAAAATACGTTAAAAAAGGTGTAAATTTCGCCATTAATTTAACTTGACACGTTATTGAATTTTTTTTGGCTAACATTTTTATTGAGTCTAAACTCATCAATTTAATTTAGTAAAAATCATAATCATAATATTAATTACCTTAAATTAAAATTCAAGCCAAATGCACAAAATGGATTGATAAAAATGTCTCATGGTTGAAAAATTATTAGTAATACGAATAAAAATGATTTGAGTCAAATTTGATTTATTTTTTTAATAATATATAATATTATAAACTTTTAAATTTTGATTCAAATTCAAATCGATATTTTATTGAAATCAATTCAAATTTGATTTATAAGTTTTAAATTTTAAATTTTTATATTTTTATATATTATTTTAATAAAATTTTTAATATATTTATATATAAAATAATTATTTTTATTTTATAGAAATTTAAAATATATATACAAATTAACAAAATTTTATTTTAATATATATATAAAATAATTATTTTGATTTTATAAAAATTTTAAAAATATATAAATTAATAAAAATATATAATTTTATTCAATTTAATTTTTTTATTTTTCATATCTCGATTTAAAATTTAATATGAATTTAATATATATTTAATATCTAAATTTAATTTAAATCAAATAAAAAAATAGATATAAATAAACCGAATACTTCTATTTAAATCAATTTCTAAATTTTTCTAAGTAAAAATACCTCAAATCAATGGAGCTTATAGTAATAGTATTATATTATAGGATAAATAAAAAAAGAAAAGCAAGTAGCGGCAGGCACATGGTAGATAAACCAGGTAGCGGTCTCCATTCGTTTGTCTGAGATTGAGTTGAGTACATTCGTAACGTTCAAACTTGGAATCTCTTTCTTTCCCCCAAAAATATGATGCTCTGCTGAAAAGCTACTTCACTTTTCTCTCCTTTCTCTCTCTCAATTCTCTCTTCTTTCTTCCCCTGCTGTAACTGCGTTCTCTCTCTCTCTCTCTCTCTCTCTCTCTCCCCCAAACCAACAAAAAAAAAAAAGGCTGAGAGCTTGAGAGTGAGAGAGATGGTCCTTGGAGCTAACGGCCTGGTTTGGATGGATGGAGAAGACGAAGAACATGCAGTTTCTTCTTGGACCCGAAACAACATCAATACTAGCGGCAATAATGAAATTGAGACTAATGAAGAGGATTTGAATATGTCCGGTGCTTCGCTTCCCACCTTCAAATCCATGCTTGACACTGATTGGTACATAAACCCAGCTATGAACCAGGATCTTCAAATCAGAGAGCTTGGTTTCTGCTCCAACCAGGTTGATAACAGTCTCCTCCTTCACAACCCAATTGATTCCTCTGCTTCTTGTTCTCCCTCGCAGGCCTTCTTACTTGACCCTTCACAGTCACACCCTTTCTTGCCTCCTAAATCTTGCTTCTCTTCTCTCCTCAATGTTTCCTGCCACAACCCTTTTGACAATGCCTTTGATTTCGGTTCCGAAACGGCTTTTATCGCTCAGTTTCAGCCGAATCAAACCCCCAATCTGATGAGTTTTCCTCAGACCCAAATGGGCACTCCTGACTTCAGTTCGAGCTCAGAGTTTCAAGGTACAAGGTTGTTCACAGGAACTGAAAATGCTTCTGCTTTGAGTGGTGGTACTAGTGCTGGTGATTTTGCTGGATCGGCGAATGCCATGTTTATGAACAGAGGAAAGATTTTGAAGCCACTTGAAGTTTTCCCTTCAGTTGGTTCTGAACCAACTTTGTTTCAGAAGCGAGCAGCGATGCGGCAGGGCTCTGGTGGGGCTGATAAATTGGGGAATTTGGATGTTTCAGAGCTGAGATTTGGAGCGGAAGTGTCAGTAGCAAATCGGAAGAGGCATGAGGAAGGAGATATTGAAGAAGCCAATATCGATGTGTCGGGTTTGAATTATGATTCGGATGAGAGGAATGATGATTGCAAAGTGGAAGAGAGTGTAAAAAATGATGTTTTCAATTATGCAACTAGTACAGTTACTGGTGGTGGGGATCACAAGGGGAAGAAGAAGGGGATGCCGGCAAAAAATCTGATGGCGGAGAGACGGAGAAGGAAGAAGCTCAATGATAGGCTTTACATGCTTAGGTCTGTAGTGCCCAAGATTAGCAAGGTATATTATATTTGAAAATTCTTCAGGAATTAGTTATTACTTATTATAGACTAGCATATTCTTTTGTGGTCTTGCTATTGTGGTCATGTTGGTTTGTTCATGTTAATTGTTATAGGTATTCAAAATTAGGATCTTGATATGTGGCATTTGGTCTTGACTCTTGAATTAAATGCTAAGTTACCTAATTTCTGTTAGAGTTTGAGAACATGCATGCTTAATTTTAGTTTTTTCCCCCTTTGCTTTTAAGATTACATGTTGTCTGTTGAGTGCTTGTGATTATTGTTGTTTCGGGGTGATTTTAGTTAGACGTATATTACCTTGGTGTTCCTTTAATTGAAACTGGTAATGATGACAGCTACTCATTGTGCTTATCATGTCATAGATGGATAGGGCTTCAATACTTGGGGATGCCGTTGATTACTTAAAGGAGCTTCTGAAAAGGATCAATGATCTCCATACTGAACTTGAATCCACTCCACCTGGCTCTTTGATGCCACCATCTACAAGTTTCCACCCATTGACACCAACTCCACCTACCCTTCCATGTCGTGTCAAGGAAGAACTGTGCCCCAGCTCATTGCCAAGCCCTAAAAGCCAACAGGCAAAGGTAAAATTTTGGACTGAAAAGTTGACTTATTTTTTCCTATTTATTTGCTCAAGTTTTGCTACAATTGCTTGTTTTTCTTTATTTCTATGAGAAATTGATGTTATTACTTAAAAGTCCTTTTACCTACTATGCAAAAAATTTAACATGCATGATAAATTTGAAAATCTTGAAGGTGAGAGGAGCAAAACATGGATGCCTATGTGTTCTTTTCTGATAGTGACTTGCATGATACCAGCTAGACAAATAAGTTAATATTGAGCTCGAATGTTGCATAAAGTTGTACTCTTTCTAATTCGAGTATGGACTGGTAGACTTTCAAATGATTTGTATTTAAAGTTGATTTTGGAAAGTTAACAATGCCCTGTTAAACATATACAATATGTTAGTTCTTGTCTATGTACTTGCAAGAACAATGGGGTCCAATATTTCGTCCATTTATAGATAGAACATGTGCTCATTAAACTTGTTAGGTTTTGAATTTGTTGATGGACCTTATCATGAAAAATAGAGTACTCTATATTAGATAAATATGATGTACTGAGGAGGCTGCAATTTTCCATTTTTGAGCTTTTTTGTTTTTGTTCTTTTTCTCATTTTATTGATCATTTTCTTGTCTTCTGCTTAGCTTCTTGTTGGTTATGAAATGTTTTTATATATATATAAAGGAGTAATCATTAAACAAGCATATCTTGCTCGAAATACCCAGTTGCTAATAAGCATCCTGTTGATATAATCCCTGCAATCCCATGAACAGCCTTCTGTCACTTAAGAACAACTGAAGAAGTAATAATTTCCTTGCCCCATGAAGTCCTTTAATTCCTTTCCATCCATACAAAATAACTGAAGAAGTGAGATATTTGTTTCTTTCCCTGGTCAACAATATTCTTTATATATTTATATGCTAGGCTTTTGTTTCTTTGCACTTGATGTAAGAACTTATGTAGACATGATATAACATTTTGGACAGACATATGCTTGCCAAAAACTTTCACCAGGTTGTGTGAGTGTAACTTGTTACAGACAATTCTTTTTTCCTAAATGTTTTGAACAATAAACTCAAGTAAACTCCTAATTTTCACATTTCTATTTCTGAATTTCCAGGTGGAGTTAGGTAAGGAAGGAAGGGCTGTCAACATTCACATGTTTTGTGCTCGCAGGCCAGGTCTCTTGCTCTCCACTATGAGAGCCCTAGACAACCTTGGATTGGATATACAGCAGCTGTAATCAGCTGTTTCAATGGGTTTGCACCTGGATGTGTTCCGACTGAGGTGCACTTCTTCCTTCTTTCTTGTCTTCATCTGCTTCTGGTGATATTTCCATTTAAAGATCATTTTAATTTGCGCATCTATCCTAGAGATTATATATGTTTCTTCTCACATGATTGCAACTAACATCTCTGTAACAATTCAAAACCTCTTGAGATTGAGGGGTCTCTTCTTCTTATTGTCCTGTTGTATAAGTTTTCAGGTTCCCATAAAATCCAAATAAGAAGATTTGTCAGTGAATGGATGAAGAAAATGGATAATTTGGATTATTTGGTTTGTTGTTTTAACAGCAAAAGCAGGGAAAGGGGAGGACGTAATGCCTGAGCAAATCAAAGCCGTGCTTTTGGATTCAGCAGGCTTCCATGTGACTTGAAAAAGCTGCATGTGACTGTAGTAATAGTTGTTGTAAAATCAATTTGAAGTAAAAAAAATATAAGAAGGCGTTGATGAGATAGATTGTTTTTGTAGGTTGGCGCAGGCAAAAAAGTTAATGTTTAA